CAGAATTAAAAGTATTATAAACACTGGAAGTCCTCTGAGTGTGGAGGGTGGAGAGTGTCCAGTCTTCCTGCAGCACTACTCGCCCTAAATAGTCTCCTCCTCCCTTATATCGTCTCTGCTCAAGGGCAACTAGTGGGGTCTTCAGAGTCAGACTGAAGTTTAAATGCTCACTCTGTCGTTGACCAACTGTGCAACTAATTAGGCCAAATAAATGCAATTCTGAGGATTAAAACGAATGTACCTGCCTTGTGTATATGCTGTAAAGATCATATAAGTCTTATATATAAGGTAATTAGCAAGGTACCTAGCACATAGGTCACTACTGTTAATGCTATTATCCTCCCTACAGTTCCTTCCCTCTCTGTCTATGAATCACACCCCATTTTCTTCTTGGGGGTGGGGGGAGGTATGTTGTTCAGACTGCCTTTAAGACTGCAGGGGTAGGGCAGGTCATGGCGTGGTCAGGGAGCTGAGCCGCAGTGTCTCTGGGAGCACAGGGCCTCCTCATGGAGAAGCAGGTTGTAGTTCAGAACTGGGAGATGCAGGCAAATGGGCAGTTGCTGGGAAGATGCAGGAACAGAGAAGGCGGTGAGGAGCAAGGCAGGGAGCAGACGACAGCCCCAGTCTTTTCCTGTGGACCTGGCTGCGGTGCTGGAGCGCTCCCTCCTTGCATGGCAACTCTGGAGTGCATGGCGTAAGGTTGGTTTAGACACCAGGCCGGGCCTGAACCCCAGACTCACTATCTTACTCTTTCTCAGCTTAGTCGTGGCATCTTCTGATATGAAGTGATTTCTGCCTCTGGCCTGTCCCAGGGCTGTGTTCCCTCTGCATGAACCCTCCTTCCTCTGGATCTGATCTCAGACCCTGGCCAGGCTGGGTCTGTGCTATTTCCATTTGGTACCAGGAGCTATGAAATTTGAATAGAGTTGTAACATCTTCACAATAGGTTTACCACAAGCAAAATTAATGAACGTGTCCTCGTGAAGGTGGGTGTGGTGTTGCGTAGTTTCTTTGGGTTTTTTTAAGTTTTATTTGCCATATATCTGGGAAAGTGCTGACTTCATCCATACCAGGCAGAAATGGTGTGTGCCCTGAAATACTTTCTTTGGAAAGAGTTCTCTGGGGATGTAGAAAGGCTAAGGATTCTTGAGAGAGCCTCTCTGTGCCTCAGAGACTTTTTAAAACTGCTTTTTATTTAAATCTGAAGTTAGATTGTCCACTGTGAATTTAAATACTTCATTCTTCAGAATGTAAAGGGGTCATCACCCCAGCGTCTCCATCCAAGGCTTACCTGGCTACATAAACTTCCGAGTACTCAGAGCTCGGCTTAAATTAGGGAAAGTTCTCCTGAGGCTTGCGGGTTTGTCGATACACTCCACTCTCTGTATAAAGCAGCACAAATTGATTCTAATTCCATCTTGGCCTGACTGTAAATAAGAATAAGAAGAGGAGCTAATATTTATGCTAATATGGGCTCTGTTACCTGATACATTATGTACATGACACATAATATAAGCAGGTTACATGAATTATGTCATTTAGCCCCCAACCCCATGCAGTTGACACTCTTTTTTTAACCCCATTTCACAGATGAGAATACTTAGATGTCAAGACACTTGCTGAAGACACAGACTCATAATGATACCATCAGGATTTGGATGCAGGATGACTCCAGAGTATGAGCTCAATCATACTATCCCCTCCCTGCTAGATTTGTAAATATTAAATACTCAAAAAGATTGGCAGTACCCAGCGTGCAAAGTCCACAGTCCATGAAGACACAGGCATATCACATTCTTGCTGGGGTATAAATTGTACAGACATTTGGAGGACATTTTGGCAGGCCTACCAAAATCTGAATTTGTTTCATCTTTTGATCATTCCTAGAAATCGATGATACAGCCATGTAAACAAAGAAACACATACACAAGTGGTCATCAGATCATCACACATGGGAACAACTCAGTATACACCAATAACACTGTTCAAGTGAATCAGAGAACATGCATGTTATAGAATGCTACACATACATAAAAACGAATGGGGTAATAGGTAGGTAGGTGGATAAAATAAGAATGGGGTGGCCTAGCTTTTTCAACAATTTCTGTAGACTGTCCATAGTGCTTGGGCCTGGCCAGGAACAGGTCAGTCACTCACTGATTCTGCAGAACTTTGCTTCTCCTAGGGAATCTTGATGGTTCAATGAAAATGTTTAGTTTTTGAAATAAACTTTCCAGAATGCCCCTGTTTTATTGCATCAGATAACACTATGATGACAAACAAAAGACAAGAAACTGTTGATCACACACATAGCACATCAGCACCAGATGAAACAATTTACAGCAAGAAGCTGTTCTAATGCACGCACACGAGGACTCGCCATCCTGGAAGCCTCCTCGGCTCTAAAACATAGCAATAGCAACAGAATTTCATCATCATAAATAAACATTAATAGAGGGCACAAACAATTCTTGTTATATACAGCAAAAGCAAAATCAATATGCCATTAGTTGGAACTTGAAAACCAAGATCTAATTACAATGCCCAGTGAATTGCAGGCAGACTAACTTGATGGCTACCTTAGCTCCACCCACATTGATTTTATTTTTTGTAAAGTATTTCTTCAAGGGCAAAAGGATTGTCATCGACAGTATCTTGTTACTTGGATCTCCTTTCTTGGATTTCTTCTTTATAAAAATTGACATGATTTGCCATAATGCGAAAAACTCCAACAATTTAAAAATCAACAAAGGGAGAGCTATGATGCTGCATCTATTGATATGGAAATTTTTCTGTAACATGATGTTAAGGAAAAATTTCAAATCATAGTGCGGAATAAGATACTCAGTGTAATGCAGTTTGGGTGGGAAAAGCTATATCTAACATGCACACACAGGTAGTTGCTTCTGCATAGAAAAAGGTCTGTAATGATGCACACAAAACTGTAACATCCCAGAGAAGGGGGGTGGGGGTGAAGCGGAAGGTAGGGAAGATGCCCAAGTGCAACGTGCTCCACATTTACTTTGTGCATGATGCTAATATTTTTTTCAATGATCATGGATTATTCTGGAGTTAAAAATCAAAGGAAAAAGGTGTATCAGAGCTAGATGATGAGGGCCATGTAGGCAAAATTCAGGAATGAAGAAACTGTCACAGAAGTTGCAGGGAGCCCCTGAAGCGTTCAGACAGGGAATGGTGTGGTTGGATTCGCCTTAATATAGAGGGTGGTTTACAGAATGATATTGACGTGTGAGGCTAAGAAATGGCAGAATGTTAACATGTGAATGCAGCAGATCTTGGGGCTGGAGAAGGAAGAAACTGGCGATGGTCCAGGTCAGGTTCAGGCAAATGGGGCCCGACAGGGGGAGGGGGGAATTTGCTTCTGGGGGGGTCACAGGAAGAGCTCAATGTGGAACACGGGACAGATGAGGTGACTTCAGGAAAGCCAGGTTCTGGGAGACACTGCCTGGCATCAGGGAGCTAGATCACACGATCTTCCTGCTGTCTGCTCCTCCCAGTCATTCAAAAGGTATTTATTAGGAGTGATGAGGACACTTTCTCAACAAATAAACAAATCTCCTATGAGAAATGTAAACCATTCAGTTGTGATTTGGAAATGCTTTAGCTGAAGATATCTGAATGTGGGGGGGTGTCAGCATGCAAGGATTCTTTCCTCTGATCAAAAGAGGGGACAGTCAGGAAGCCTGACCTCAGCAAGGGACTTCCAGGTGCCCTGGGGGGAAGGGGATTGCTTCTGTCTGCCTGTGGCTTGTCAGTGAGGCCTCACTTCTGCCCTTCACCCCATCCAGGACTATCTGTAGGTGCCCATCCTGAGCTTCCTCCTCTCTAAGGCCCACACCCCAACAATCCATTCCCTGGGGTTGAATGAGTGCTCTGGCCTGGGCCTAGAGACAAGGCCGAGCTGTCTTCCTTCCTCAGGTCTGTAGGATTTTCTAAGCAAGGCACCCAGAACTAAGGAGAAGTTCAGTTCATCCCAAATATATTCTAGGCCCCTACTGCCAGGCATGGAGCTCAGGACTGGTGCAGAGCTGTGAGCCAGCCAAGCAAGTCTCTGCCCTTCTGCTATTCAGGGACCTGTTCAGTTGGCAACAAAGCCTCTCTTTCCCCAGCTGGTGATGTTCTAGACTTTTCTATGCATGATGGCCTGCGGGCACTATGAGCACTACAGAGCCTGGTCAGGGGATGAGGAGGTCCAGCATCTGCTGAATCCACTGTGGGGAAAGCCTTGGCCAGCACTGAATTTGGACCTGTGGAAACAATAAACCTTGAAAAGATCAGGGTGCCCCATTCCCCCCAAAGTGTAACTGAAATGAAACATCCAAAGAAACTACCAAGTAAAGTTAATCAAGATCAACAAAGATCTGATCTTTGCCCTACTGCTTTCCTTCAAAATGTGAATTATCAAATTCTTCTTCCAAAATGCCTTTGAGTTCTCTTGCTTTAAGGGCACCCTACACACTGTCCAGGGTGACACAGAGCAGGACATTGTGAGTGGCAAAGAAGTGTGGCCTGAGCTTTATTGTGAGCTTCTTGTCCAAAAGAGTCTGACCTGGGGTGGGGGAGGTGGGGGGGGGTGCAATCCCCCAGGTCAGGTAATAACAGCTGAACACAGCACATGCCCTGCCCTCTGGCTGGACACACAGGCCAGTCTGGCATGAGGTAGAGTCCAGGTCTGTGCTTGGCTCCAGTGGGGCAGGCATGGGCTGAGCTGGAAACCCATGTTGTGGCTCAGTGGACCCTTAGGAGTCAGGACCCATCAGGCACAGGGGACACCCATCCTCCCTCCCCCCCAGACTGTTGAGACTCTAAGACCCCCACACCCTAGGGCAGGGCTGGATGGCTCCTTACCTGTGCAGGTAGAGCCTCAACAGCAGGTAAGGGAGTGGGGATGGACCCTGTCGCCCTGTCAAAGCCTCTTGTTCCCGTGACCCCGACTCTCCTCACTAAATATCTGTGGTCTTTTTTTTTTTCTTTTGCAGAGTGACGAGGTCCTTACTGTCATCAAAGCCAAAGCTCAGTGGCCAGCCTGGCAGCCTCTCAATGTGTAAGTAGCAAACAGACCTTGGCCCTTCCCTGCCCGCGGCCTCGCCTTGTGCTCAATGCGCCACCTACTGGCCACTGCGCGCCACAACAGCCCTCGGGGTCAAAGCGGCGAGGTGCGCGCCAGTGTGGGGAGCATCGCCTGGGCCCGCCTTCTCGGGCGGCAGGCGTGGTCTCTGTGCGCCCCGGTCGTTCCCACTCAACTCAGACATAGCTGCTGACCACAGAGGTCGCTCAGGCGCTCAGGCTCAGGGGCTGCACGTGCACTCAGAGGAGCCGTCTGCGGGCCTGGGCTCCAGGGCAGGTACCATTTGGAGTCATCTGGGCCACAGGGCTTGTGGATGCCAACTTTTATCCCACTAAGGGCCCCCTTCTACATTTTTTCCCTTAGGGAGTGTAGGGTAAGGTAAAAATTATCAGGCTTTTCTGCCCTCCCACCATCAGGATAGATGATGGAACCCTGTGGTCCTGAATGCATGCCTGATGGCGGGCACCTGGAGTAGGGTGTGGGCATAGGTAGATGGGATTCACCTGGACTGAGACTGGGCTTTTAAGGGCAGCGTCACGGGGACGCCAGCAGAAGCAGAGAGGCAGAACTGAGAGAGAGAAGCAGCAGAGAGAACACGAGAGAAGGCCGGAGAGCCTAGATAGAGTGAAGACTTGTTGGGGGCTAGGAGGCCTGCCACCCTCCAGGCCTCCCGACACCCCTGCTTGCCATGTGCCTGGTAAATCCCAATAAAAGCCTGCAAAGCCACTGAAGGCTTCAGGGTTCCTCCTTTACCCGGTCTGCTGGATCAGAAAACCTGCTCAGTGGCCTGTCCTGCCCTTACAGGGAGCCTGAATTGAGAAAGGGTAAACTACAAAGCAAGTTGTTTTTAGAAAGGAAAGAGGAGAGGAAGGGCAGAGGAAACAAAGAAACAGAAAAATCCTTTTACCTTGAGCACCTACTATGAGCCAGTAGCCCTGCTAGGGACGTAGGTTCCATGTCCATTTAATCCTCATTCCAACCCCACAATGTAGGGATTGGGAGACTTGGGGTTGCAGGGCAGATCCCACCTGGCATCCTGCTCCACCTGTGGAAGAACTCCAACGGCAGCCATATTCAGCTGACTCCACGGCCGTTACTGTCATCAGGTGCCTCCAATTAAGCAACAGGTCTCTCATTTTCCATTTTTTTAATCAATCAAGATGGATATCTCAACCAATTTGACTTCTGATCAGCATGAAGTTAGTGGTGTGACCACATCAAATTGTCTGACGCCTGCCCCAAAACAAACTAAAAAAAAGCTTGACTTTCACGCACCCTGTGTCCTTCCATCAAGGCTGACCGGAACATTTCATTGCCTCACAAATGCTTATTGAGGGTGTCCAAGGGGCAGTGCTGTGGAAGCTGCTACGGGATATAGCGGGGAGCAGAACAGTTTCTCCTGGAACTTATGCTAAGGCGGGGAAGACATTAACCAAACAATGATAATTGTGCTGTTTATAAAGTGAAGACATGAGGTGCCAGAAGAGTGTGTGGTGAGAGGTCGATCCAGCCTGGAGGTCAGAGAGCATTTCCTTGAGGAAATGGCAACTGAGCTAAGACCTCAGGAATCTGTAGGAGTTAACTAGATAAAGAAGTAAAACAGAAGAGAATATTCTAGAATGTCCAGAACATCGAATGCAAAGGCCCTGAGCGGAGAGCAGAGAACATTGAAGATCCTAAGAGGCTGTGGTGTAACTAGGTCCAGAAATGAAATGTGAGCTTTGCCAGGGATTTTGATATTTACATTAAGTGTAATAGGAAGTCATTGAAGGGTTTGAAGAGGCATGACAATATGATCTGACTTACATTAAAAAGAAATAACACTACTCTGATATGAAAAAGGTGAGAGTAGGTGAGGGCAGACCAAGGAGACAGCGACTGCAGAGGTCTGAGAGTGAACTCATTGTGAGTTGGAGCAGTTGGAGCATTGTGAGTGGCGTTGGTTGGAGAGAGGGGAGAAGAAGTGGTAGCATGTAGGAATAAACCCAACACCTGTGCTGGCGGGCCACGGAGGAGAGGGAGGCAGAGGCGCGGGGTGATTCATGAGACTGGGAACTGTAGTGGAAGTTCAGTGAGATAGAGCATATGTCCAGTTAGAGATGTGTTGACAAGGCATACGATATCCAATTGGGGTTAACACTAAGCTCTGAAACTCGGGGGGAGAATGGTGTATGGAGATAGGAAATGGGGAGTCATCAAGGAATAGAAGGCAATGCATGGATAAGAGAGAGCCCGAGAATAAGAGTCAGGTTTAGGGCCTCCCTGGTGGCCCAGCGGGTTGAGCGCAGCGCTGGGAAGCTGTCTGCAGCCTCTTGCAGCGCGGGTTCAATTCCCGGCCAGCAAGGGAGATACCCACACGCGGCAGGCCTCTCCTGACTTGCCCACTGCTCCCCTCACAGTGTATTTCAGTAGATCTGCCTGTTCTGCCCTCGCCCTGCTCTATCTCTGGTGAATTCTCTCACCCTCCCGTGCCTCTGGCCTGTATCCCAGCTCTTGCATAAATAAATGAAAAATCTTTAAAAAAAAAAAAAGAGTCAGGCTTAGTAGTTGTAGGCTAAGGAAAAATGTCAGGCTTTTCTGCCCTCCTGCCACCAGGATAGATGACGGATCCCTGCGGTCCTGAATGCATGCCTGATGGCGGGCACCTGGAGTAGGGTGTGGGCCTAGGTAGATGGGATTCACCTGGGCTAAGACTGTGCTTTTAAGGGCGGCGTCACGGGGACGCCAGTAGAAGCCGAAAGAGAAGCCGAGAGAAGGCCGGAGAGCCCAGAGTGAAGACCTGCTGGGGGCTGGGAGGCCTGCCAGCCTACCGGCCCCCCAGCACCCTTGCCTGCTGTGTACCGGGTAAACCCCAATACAAACCTGCAAAAAGCCACTGAGGGCTCTAGGACTCTGACTCCTCCTTTACCCGGTCTGCTGGATCCTAGAAAACCTGCCCTGTGTCCATTCCTGCCCTTACAGTAGTGAATGCTGAAGAGCGCCAGCGTTTACTATTGAGGACCCCTGCCAGCAAAGGAACAGAAAAGGAACAGCAGAGATGCCAGGGAAGGGAGCTGGTATCAGGGAAGCCAATAGTAGCATCCAAGGGCAGCGTGGCCAATGCAGATCCAGGAAGGTGACGGCTGCAGATCTGCAAGGGATTTTCCAACATGCAGATCATTGGTGATCTTCTGACGAATCCTCTTGGCTGAGTAAGGGAGAAGAGCGCAGCCCTGTGAAATGTCAACCGAAAGTGAGGTTATGCAGTCAGCAAGGTTTGCAGTGAAGAAGAAAGACTGGGCAGCAACTCCAGTCAATGAAGTTTTTTTTTTCTTTTTTTAAGATGGGAGACTGTTAAGAAAATTGAAAATATATATTTTCAGATACCGTACCACTTTTCACCCACTTCCTCAGAATCCTTAAGCCCCCAGTGGAACAGAATTAATTGATGGCAAACACTCAGACCTCCCAAACACCCAAACTACCCAAACACCCAAACCCTCTCCGCTCAGTGCTACCAGCTTGTTAAGGGAAAAGAATTTTCCTTTGATTTTCCCATACCCTAGTCTCCCCTTTCCTCTTCCAAATCTCATTAGGAAGTCAAATTAGGAAGCCTACATGCAGCCAAGTTTTGTTTTGCAGAAACAGTCCTGCCCCTCTTCACTGGGCCTGCTCGATTGAGGTTAATGGGATTCCAGGCTCCCTCGGGCCAGTGGAAAGCCAGGGTGACCTACTTTGCAAGGTCCTGCCCTTGGAAACTGACTTGTTTTTCAATGATCTTCATCTTTATCCCCAGGACCACTTCTCAAAGGACAGCCATGAATGAACAAATTAGCTGCTGACTTGTTTAGCTCAATAAATCAAGCTGTGGCTCTGAGAGCCCAGAGAGCAGGTAGAGACAGGAAAGACAGATTCGGAACAAAAACCCACGTCTTTCCCTGCTTCCTCTGGCGCCACCGTAGAAAAATACCCAGGTTTCCTGCAAATCAATTCTGAATTTCCACTACCCACTTCCTTCAGTTTCATCTGAATGCTAGAGATTACCAGAAAAATTTTAAATAAGTTTTATTCCTTTTCATATGAATCCTGTAAAGCACTGAAATTATTTCCTGAATTATTTCCAGCCACTGTTTAATTAACATTCGATTTGACAATGTTCCATGTTTTGAGACCTAAGAGAGGTGGGCAGACTGGAGACACAGTCTCTCTTTCCAGAAATCCTGCCTCTGGGGGGTCTGTGCCCCCATAATTACCCCAAGTCATAATTTCCCTGGAGGCCAGAAACATCTTTTTCTCTCTAATCAAGACTGGAAGTTTCAGGGCCCTCCCTGCCTCCTGCCAGCCTGCACTGCTAGGCCAGATCCAACAGTAGGCTCAGGATCCTACAGGAAGACTGGTGTTGGACTAGAGGAGCAAGAGGTAGATACAACTGGTCAGATGGTCCTGGGCCCTAGATGCCTCCAGGTTATTTAAACAGTTTTCCAGACTGGAAACCTCTCCAAACCTTCCTCCAGCCACACAGGATCTAGTGAAAGGCTTGAGTGTCCCCTAGTGGTTGAATTGAGTTTCTACAGCTTCAATTTAACGGGAGACAAATTAATGATGAGGGACAGAACCCAGCGTATAAGAGACCTAAGCCACCAGTGAGTGACCAGAGTCTCACTACTGTGAATCTGTCATTTATGAGGGGATAATAAGCCTACATAAGAGACCATAAAAATCCTTTCCTGACTCTTTTGTGGTTTTTGGAAGTTTTGTTGAGAAAAGTTGAATAGAAAAGCTAAATATTTACCAAGTCCTGTTACCTCGGCAGTGTCTTCATGAAAAGCCCTGGTATGGTGGTGTTCCCAATTTGCAGATATAGTAACTGCAAAAGAGGTGGCGTAAAAATCCCTGTCACATAGCTGATAAGTGGCTGAGCCAAGATATAAAAAAAGCAGCTTACCCCTTGTTCTACAGACCACTTAGTCTTTGTAAATGTTAAAAAGTGAAACATTTGTTCACATATTCGTTTGATTTTCATTTTTCCGGCACTAATTGTTCATAACTTGCCTTTACCTATTAGGATTATGGTATTTTTCTTACAGCTTTGTGTTAGCTCTGTAGATATTATAGATATTAACATTTGTCACTCAGACCTCATAGAGAAGTTTTTGCCAATATGTCATTTTTATTTTGTCTTTAATTCTATAGCATTGCTTCCTTAGACAGATGTTTCAGATCTCTTTTTTTATTGCTTTCATTGTCTCAAAACTGAAAAAATTAACTTTTCTCTAGCAGACTAGAACACTAGATCTTTTCCCCCAATAATCTGGTTGTTCTCTGTTTAACTCTGCATTGTGTGTGTGTGTTTGATATTAATATGAATCCCATTTTTTGGTACAACTGGGTTAGCATAACCCCACTTATTGCACAATCTTTCCTTTCCCCTCAATTTGAGATATCTGTTTTGTATCAGTCCGGATTTAAAGTTTCTGGGCTCCAGCATCTCACTGATTCATATTTCTTTCTTATCCTAAATATAGGCAGTTTAATAAGCATGTTTTCTTATATATTCTGTTTTTCTGTTATATGTTATGTCTCCATCAACTTTCTTTAATAGAAAATTCATATAAATGTAAATCCCAGCTAGAAAAAATGAAACGAAATTAGCAAAGTATCACATACGGAAAACCATGCCATATAAGAAAACATGAATAAGGATTTTTGTCATAATTTGGACACATTAAAGGATTCCAGTCACATCTAGCATTTACACAAGAAAAGTCACATATATTCGGATCCATTTTATTATTTGAAATAATATTTTTATTGTAGAAGTAATAAATACTTGAGTTGTTTTTTTTTAATTAAATGTGAAGGTCAAAGGAAGTATAAGAACTCCATGTTCATTTCCTAGATTAATTCATTTATTTCAACAAATATTTGAAGAGAACCCTTTGCATGACAAGGTCTAAGCCAGACACTGGGACATAGCTGTAAGCAAGACAAAAATGGCCCCCACTCTACTGGAACCTAGTGGGGAAGACAGAAATGAAACCAGAAACTCCAAGGAGAAAGTAAGGTCTGTGTGCACTGAAAAGATATACTGGGGTCCTCAGCACCTTGAGGGGAGATCAGGGGTCACTTCCTCCAGGTCATACTGTGTAAGCTTTCTAGTCAATGGTAAGAGAAATGAGCAGGGTATGAAGATGCTAGAAAATCACTCCCAGGCCTTTACAGATGCAAGTTGACCATATTACCCAAACTAAGGGTAGGGTTTTGTGTAGGGATTGGTTGCCCCATATTTCCTACCCCTGAAAGACCAACATCTGGGGAATACCTTGCTCAGATTACAGATTTGGGCAAACTGCATTTGCAAAGAACAATTTGTCTAAGACCTTATGAAAACACAAGCAGTTCTTAAATGCTTACATCCATCAATTGGGCAGAGTATCAAGAAGGTGTGTTGAGTGGGATTGGTTTGGTTTCTCTGGTTCTGGATTCCTGGGTAGAGCTGGTTTAGTCCCTTAGGTTGTCATGGTGAATAATGTCACCATGGGGTCCAGGTTATAAATGACTAACCTGACACAAAGCCACAAGCTCAGGGATAGGGGAAGGTAATCATCATCCTGGCTGACCTCCATGTGGGAGAGGAACCTGACTCCAAGGCCCTGCTGGATCCCCCAGGGGCTAAGAGCAAAGGAAGGGTGGGGTGCAGAGACTCCCCAGCACTCTGCCAGGCCCTAACCAGAGGGAGGCCCAGACTGTGTCCTATTAGCCCCTGGGTGAACAATGCCGTGCCTCCCTAGTCACAATTCTTTAGAAGCTCCTAAACCACTAGCCTACACGCCAGAATGGGCACATGTAGGCAAGGAATTGAAGTCCCAAATTTACGCCTCACTGAACAGCCAATGATGCTGTGTGAGTGGCATGGATGTCTTCCTAAGCCGGCATCTCCTTCCAGCTCCACAGCACCCCCGAGGCAAGCAATGCCAGATGACAAAGTTGGGACTGAAAGAGGGGCTGGTTGGGTCACTCATCCGAGGCTTCCCGCTCTCAAGAAGCTCCCAGAACAGCAGGGGAGACTGAGCAGTGAGAAAGCCATTGCAATCCCAGAGTGTACCCCCACAGATTTGCACAGCATGTGGACATACCCTGGGCTCTGGCCTCAGTCTTGGGCGTTCAAAGGCTCCCAGAAGAGGTGAGCAAGCCCAGAAGAGTGAAATGTGAGCAGACGGTGATTCCCCAACTTGAGGCGTGTGAGGATCACTGGGAGGGATGTTTGTGCAGAGCGTTGGGTCCTAACCCAGAGACTCTGATTAAATGAATCTGGAGTGGGGCCCGATAATTTGCATTTCTAATGCATTCCCACCAGCACTGATGCCGCCTGTCTGAGGACCGCACTTTGCAAACCACTCATGAAAGACTTTCCTAGCAGATGCACATGCATGTGAGCCCTGCACGGCTGACCAGGTGCGGGGAGCCTCTATGCAGAGGGTGGGATGGTAGGGGAGAGCGTGGAGGAGAGGAGGTAATGCCCAGCCTGGCCGACCTGGCTGCCCCAGCAAAGGCTGGGGCAGAGCGCCCCCTCCAGTCATGAGCCAGAACCAAGGCTGGCACCCGGCTGGACCGCACAGCCTGCACAGCCCGCTCAGGAGGCCTCCTTCCCTCTCTTTCTTGGGCTTTTATGACCCTATAGTGCTCTTCTTCAAAACAGCATCAGCAATAGCAGCTCAGGTGCCAGGCCCTGGGCAAGTTCTCTCATTAAACACTCACATGCCCTTTGGAGCGGACATACAAGGACCCTCCTTTTCCTAGATTTGGACACAGAAGATTTGGCAGCTCGGCTGAGGGTATGCGGTGCAGCAGGCACACCAAGGCTCCCCTCCTGCTCTAGTCACTGTCTGACCCCACCTGGCTGCCAAGTCCAAGGGCTCGGTTTCCACAGGTCCCGACCAGATCTGGAGTCGTCGCTTTCTGGGGACAGGTGAGGGCAGCCAGAAGCAGCTGGGTCACAGGGTCACAAGGAGTAGCAAACAGCTGAGGTAGACCAGCTGCCAGCTGGACTAGACAGATAGGTTGGTCCCCAGCCAGGGACTCCCTGCGACTAAAAAGCTTGGGGTGTACATCAGGCAGAGCTGCCTTGGAACCTCAGTCCCCACCAGCTGTGTCTGAAGTTCAAGGGCCTCTAGACGCTTTTCTTTCTCCTCTACAAAATGGGGTGATAATGCTAATCCCACAGGATTTTCTGCGGCAGGGGGCGAGGGGAGATAAAATAATGCAGGTCTGCCAAATGTGGGATGAGTGGATTCGGTCTTCTCCCCGCCCTGCACCCGGGTCCTTTGTTAGAACACCGGTGCTGATCTCAGGCAACCCGGGCCACTCCTTAAATTTCTTCTTAGCAACATGAGATTGAGAAATTGAAGATCTGCCTCTCAGAGCTCAGGGTCTGTCAGTCTCTGATGCCACAGCAAACAGACTGCAGGAAATGGCCAAGGAACCAGCTGTGAGGCCTTGGCTGAGCTCCAGTGCCAGGGCAGGGCCTCGCTAGAAGCAACCTCTTAAGGGCAACAGAGGCAGCAGGCAGAGGCAGTGTGAGGAAGGGGTTTCCCTTCAGTACAGTGAAAAGGAGGCAGGGAGGAGGATTTAGAATTTGATGATGAAAAGGACACTAGCCTTGAACTGACAACGACTTGGGTTGGTGTCTGCTCTGCCACCAACAAGTCAAGTAACTATAAACAAGTCAAGTAACTCTTGAGCACCTCCCTTTCTTCGTGTGTAGATTGGAGTCAATAATCCTTATCCTAGAGAGTCAGACTAAGGATTAAATGAGAGCGTATAAGAAACGCTCGGGCCCTTGTTAAGCGGTTTTGTTTTTGTTTTTGTTTTTGTTTTTTCATAAAGTTCATTCACTTCTTCAGGGGCATTTGCTGAGCGTCTGCTCTGTGGCAGGCACTGCTGTAGACACTAGGAGGAAAGCCATAAGGCAGACAAAAATACTGCTTCCTTGGCGCTTACACTCCAGGGAGAGATGACAATCAATAAACTGCTGAGTAAAGAAAGAAATACAGGGGGCCTCCTTGGTGGCGCGAGGGGTTAAGACGCAATCTCTGAAGCTATCCACAGCCACTGCAGCACAAGTTTGATCCCTGCCAGGGAGCAACCCACACGGCGCAGCAGACCTCTCCTGACTCGCCCGCTGCTCCCCTCAGCAGTGTATTCAAGTCAGTCTGCCTGTTCCGTTCCCCTCTGTCTCCGGTGAATTCTCTCACCCCCCACACCCCTGGCCTGTACTCCAGTTCTTGTATGCATAAATAAATAAATCTTTAAAAAAAAAAAAAAAAGGAAAGAAATGCAAAAGAATTGCACATTAAAACTGGGGAGGGTGGGAGCATTTGGTTCTCCCCATGTGTGGCCAAAGGATGCTCTGGCCCAAGAGAGAGAAGTCTATAAACCAGCAGGGCCCAAAGCAGAGTTTGGGAGGAGACTGAGAATCCTCCTGCTTCCTGTCCTCTCCTCCTATACAGAGCCATGGTCTGACCGGAAGTCCCTCAGAGCATGTATCCCCGAAGCCCCTAACGTGCTGGTCTCTGTGTTTTGGTTTCCAGGAGAGCAGCACCCTCGGCTGAATTTTCAGTGGACAGGACACGCCATTTAATGTCCTTCCTGACCATGATGGGACCCAGCCCCGACTGGAATGTGGGCCTGTCTGCAGAGGATCTGTGCACCAAGGAATGCGGCTGGGTCCAGAAGGTAGTGCAAGACCTGATTCCCTGGGACGCTGGCACCGACAGTGGGGTGACCTATGAGGTAAGTGTCTGCCTGGAGTGGTGAGTGGCAAACATTCCCCAGTGCCTCCTTCTTGCCCACCCCTGTTCAGGGTGTCCTGGATGGAGGTGAATCTGGCCCCGGCTGTGTCCTGGGCGAACCCACCATCTGGCAGGGAAGCCATGAAGGTCTCATCATCACATACAGTAGCCCTCAGGCTCTCAGAGTCCATTCAGCTGCCCAGGAGAATGTGGAGAGGGAACCCGAAAAAGAGCAGTCCACAGTGAAGAGCGAGGGAGCAGCAGGCACCCGGCTTGTGGAAGGAGGAAGAGGAGCAAGCGCAGGAGGAAAGGCAGGGAACAGCAGGAAGTAGGTTGCTGACATGAGACTGAGCTAGATACCCAAGGCTTCCTGACATCCAGGCTAAGGAATTTGGAGCCCTTCTGGATGTTAATATTTTTCATATATGATCAGCACACCATCTCCATCAAAATCTGGAGTCTTCAGAAAACAAGTGGTCAAACAGTCTAGATCAGACAATAGTAAACTGGCTTGTGGGCCAAGCTGGGTGCACCACCTGATTCATAAATAAAGTTTTCAAACTCAGCTTCACTCATTTGCTACATGTCTGGATGGACTGCTTTCCCACTGCAACAGCTGAGTTGAATAGTTCTGACAGACAGTATTTAGGTCTGCAAAGCTGAAAATAGTTCGCATCTGACCCTTCACAGACAAAAATTTGCTGCCGCCACCTGGTCTAACAGGAAGAACCCTGGATGCAGGCCAACCTGGCCAAGCCATTTTCTAGCTGGGATGACCTTTCAGAAACTTGACTTCTGCATCTGGGCAACCACGTACATGGGAGAATCTGAAAATGCAGATTCTACAAATTTCCAAGCAAGCAAAACATGGGTCATGAGTAGAATTCCATAAATATAAGCAATAGTTATACTTCTTAGGTTCTAATCAAAGTTTTTACTCTGATCATATATCAATCAAATTGCTTTTATGGTTTTAACCAATCTTATCTCCCAATATCTGTGTTTTTCCCCACTGCAGTCACCCAACAAGCCCACAATTCCCCAGGAGAAAATCCGGCCCCTGACCAGTCTGGACCATCCTCAGAGTCCTTTTTATGACCCAGAGGGTGGGTCTATCACTCAAGTAGCCAGAGTTGTCATCGAGAGAATTGCCCGGAAGGTACGGGGTTCACACTAACCTTGACACCAACCCTTCCACCAGGAGTGACAAGAAGACTATACTCTGTGTTCTAGATTCATGGGGCCTCTGGTGTATTCCTTGATATGGAATCCCTGGACCTCCCAGGTTCCTAGCATGTAAATTCCTTCATAAGACATAAATGAGCAAAATGAGCAGTTAGGGTTTAATGGTTAACTGAGTAATATGGCCCAGGCTAAGAGTTTTCATCATGAGATTCATACTTTATTACTAATATCTGCCATGGGTCAGGAATTGGGAGGCAGTGGTACGCGAACCATATATTTTGCATGTGGCATATATTGCTTGCTTGGTTTGTCTCTCTTGCTTTCTTGCCATTTCTTTTTCAATCACATAGTAAATGCTGGCCCAGGGCTCTTCCCTGGCCTAGGATGTGTTTACAGGGTGGGTATCAGATTTTATATCCTCCCCATCTTTCTTCCTCATATTCTTTTTTTTTTTTTAAGATTTATTTATTTATTTATACAAGCACTGGGTACAGTCAGAAGCGCGGGAGGGTGAGAGAATTCACTAGAGTCAGAGTGGGGAGCAGAGCAGGCAGACTGATGAAGTACACTGCTGAGGGGAGCAGCGGGCAGCAGGAGAGGTCTGTGCACCATGTGGGACCCTCGCCCGGCGGCCGGGGATTGAACCGGCTCTGCAGAGACACCGGAGAGACCCCACACATTTTATCTTTAATGTGAGCCCTTTCAGAAAAATTCTTTTGCAGGGGGAACAATGCAATATTGTACCCGACAATGTGGACGATATTGTAGCAGACCTGGCTCCAGAAGAGAAAGATGAAGGTACATTGTTTTCCTTCATTACAGGTGGGCCACATAAATTAGCATGAACTTTTGGAAAAAACATTTGCTAACATGTTTTGTTATAGTCTTTGACTTGGGATAATCCCATCATTCAGGATTATGGCTTGGGAGATAATCTAAAACAAGACCATAGTAGGCACAAGGCATAGTAGGCATAAGGAAATTGGTGATGGTATATCATGGGAATATATTTTCAACTCTGCTGGACTTTAAAATGATAGTGTAAATGACATTTGTGTAGGCTTCTAGCAGTCAGAGCTCTCTGCTCTGATTCTGACACCACACGTGAGGCAGGAAAGGGGATACCCACCCTCCCCAGGAGAAAAGCAACACTCAAATCCTCATTGGGATCTTCAGCCAACTTTTCTCGTGGGATCTGCAGCCAGACAGCCTGGCCTCTCTTCTGTGATTTTGGACAAGAAACTCCCCTCTCTGCCATGGGTTCCTCACCTGTGAAGTGGGGATCATAACAGAACTTCCTCATAGAGTGTTGTCACAATAAACACATGGGATAAAACATGTAAGATTCTTGCAATGATGTTGGTGCATCAGTGCTTAGCTTTGGCTGCTTATTCTTGTCACGACACCTGTGTGTGGGGTTGTTAGAAAGAAGAATCAGCAACACAAATTACCTATGATGTGTATGCACCTGTGTAGAAATACTATCTGCCAAGGTGAGGGCTGGAAATGAAAAGACGTGCATGTGTTGAGTGGAAGGACTAATTAGATGATCTTTCCTTGTTATTTAACTGTTTAGTAGCAAAATGCTAGAACACAACTTTCAAGGGAAGTGAATGAAGCTTGCATGCTCCTTCCCACCATCCCCCAGGCTTACCCAGGCAGGAGGCAGGGAATTTCTTGTCCCCAGTTGGGTTTGTCTGGAGAGTCACTCATAACTCCCACTGACTCCCCGAGAAAACATCTCACGTACTCTTTCCAGATGACACCCCTGAAACCTGCATCTACTCCAACTGGTCCCCGTGGTCCGCCTGCAGCTCCTCCACCTGTGACAAAGGCAAGAGAATGAGGCAGCGCATGCTGAAGGCACAGCTGGACCTCAGCGTCCCCTGCCCTGACACCCAGGACTTCCAGCCCTGCATGGGCCCAGGCTGCAGTGATGAAGGTGAGGGGACAGCTTCAGCCAATGGGTTGTGGGCAGAGGCTCAGGCAAGGAGGGTTCTGCCTCCTTATTCTGACCCTTCAGGCCCACTAAGGCCGCATCTCGGGAGAGAGCACCAGCACCCTGACTGCGGTGTCCATGGGGTACATCCAGGGGAGACCCCCATTTCCAACAGTGCCTTGGGCTCTAACACATTACATGTCTTATGACATGACATGAAATCCAGTTTGTCTTGTTATTTTCTTTTGTTGTCTGTATCTTTGGTATCATGTCTGAGAAACCATTGCCAAATCCATGTTGTGAAGCTTTTACTTTATTTTCTTCCAACAGTTTTACAGTTTTTGCTCTCTGCGTTAAGTCTTTGATCCATTTGGGATTAATTTTTGTATGTGGTTTTTAGATAAGGGTCCAAACTCGTGCTTTCATCTCTGGACATCCAAATTTTCTAGCAACATTTGTGGAAAAGACTGCCCTTTCTCTACTCAATAGTTATGGCATTATTGTCAAATACCATTTGACCATATATGGAAGAGTTTACTTCTAGACTCTCCTTTCTATAACATTGATCTGTACGTCTGTCTTTATGTGATCAAGTCTGATCAAGGCACTCCTCAGCAGTCAATCCAGTATCATAACTGTTTTGACGCTTTGTACTAAGTCTAAAAAGTAGAACATGTGAATCTTCTAGCTTTGTTCTTCCTTTTCAAGATTGTTTTGGTTATTCAGGGGACCCCGAGATTCCATGTGAATTTTTAGGATAGATTTCTCTATTTCTGCAAATGTACCTGTTTGTTTGTTTTTTTTTTTTTTTTTTTTTGAGTAAACATTGGTTTATAACACTGTATGTGATAGAGAGGAATAGGATCACACCCTGCAGCTGTGTGTTACCAGACCACACCCACCATAAAAGCACCCTCAGTCCTTCACCAGAGTCCACTGTGTGCCTGCCCCCCCCTTTTTAAAGATTTATTTATTTATACATACAAGAATGGGGTACAGGCGAGAGGTGTGGGGGGTGAGAGGATTCACCAGAGACAGAGTGGGGAGCAGAACAGGCAGATTGACTGAAATACACTGCTGAGGGGAGCAGGGGGCGAGTCAGGAGAGGTCTGCTGTGCCTTATGTGAGTAGCTCCCTGGCCGGGGATCACAGTGGCTGCGGCTAGCTTCAAAGGTTGCATCTTAACCCTTTGCACCACCAGGGAGGCCCACCCTCCTCCTTTTTCTTCCCACCCTCCCCCTTCCACTCTGGTAGTTTAATTCTACAGTCAGACTTCTAGGGTTTGTTACTGGTTTGGGTTTGTCTGATTCTTTCTTTGTTTCTCCATATTCCACATATAAATAAAATCATCCAGTATTTATCGTTTTCTTTCTGACTTATTTCATTTAGCATTGTCCCTTCCATTCTACCCATGTTATTGCAAATAGCAAGAGTTCATCTTTTTTTCATTTTCCAGCTGAGTGGTATTCTATTGTGTATATACACCACATCTTCCTAATCCAACCCTCTGTCCTTGGGCACTTAGGTGGTTGCCATAACTCACCTGCTTTTTCTGCCAGGGTGCCATGCTCCCCAAAGCTACCTCCCAAAACCAGATACAGTTCTCCTGTGTCCACATCAGGTTTCCCTTCTGTACTTCATTATTTAGGGGGTGGTTAGCATAGTAAGGAAGCAGAGATGCTTTGGACATTTAGAATATAACAATATGAATGTGCATTTGTTGTGGCAACCACATCTTATTACAAGTTCCTTCCTAATTATCTGGGCCAGTTTGTTAGTCCAGTCATGTCATCTCTCCCCATTTCAGTCCACTTTCTCAGAGAGAACCTTTTGCAAACAGCAGATCAAGTCACTCCCTGCTATAGCTCTCTATTGCCTAGATGCAAACTCCTCAGCTGGATTTACTAGCAAAATAGTCCTAGATATACCAAGGTTGGGGCCTGGTGAGAACGAGGGCTCTGATGCTCACCCAGAACGATTACCATCACACTGCAATACTAACAGGCACCTGACGGCATCCCTTTTGAGGACACTTAAGTGGAGCCTCTTGAATCCAGCCTCTTCCTTTCAGAGGACACTCAAGTTGGTGGTGCACGTGCTCTGCCTGTCTGGGCTAAGGTCTTGCCTGTTACAGGAGGCCTAAATTGAGGCTCGTCAAACTTGATACCCCCAACCGTACCACAGTGGAACACAGTTACTTTATTTGGTTGTGCCTTGTTCCTGGGTCTAGCAGGTGGGTCTCAGCTGTGATGTCTTACTGCACCACAGGTTAAATTGCCACAAGTGGACATCACACATGTGCACACGGCAGCTGTGGTCATGTGCAGGCTGGCCTCACTCTCTGATTCCAATCCTTCCTTCTAGCCTCATCTCCAAATACCATATATATACTCTGTACAGGGGCTGTTGCATGAGCTGTTCCCTTCACCTTAAATACTATCCTTTGCGCAACAAAAGTCCACTCAGATGCGCCCTCTTGTGTGAAATCTTCCCCAGAATTCCAAAAAGGAGTTTTATCTCTCCTTTTTGCTCTCCAATTCCCTGGGGTTTCCTCTATTATTAAATTTTTAATACCTGGATTTTTTTTTCCAGTTTATGTGCCCAACCTCTCTGTAGAGTAGAACAAGATCTATGTCTTACACAGCTTTTTAACCTCAAAGCATACCACTAAGCACTCAGTAAATCTTTATTGACAAGAATAAATGGATGGGTGTGTAGACAAGTGGATGACTTCATTCTCCTTTTTTTTTTAGAACTAAATAGGCAAACAATCAGGCACACCTGTTTTCACCAGGCGCCACAACCTACCCACCACTTTGGAAGCAGGACCACCATGCCATGCTGAAAAGTTCCATTATCTTTTCCACCAACCTTCTAACTTCTACAAGACTTTGGCCTTTGCCAGCACCCACTGGTGGCAGCAAAGCCACCTATAGCCCAAGTTGTCAACACAGAGACTGTGATAGCATATCTTTCTACCTCTTATGTGCCCTCTCCAGGCACACACACTACCTCCCCACTTCCCACCCCATTAACTCCCTGCTTGCACCCCTTAGCAGTGAGAGTATTGTTTTCTTTGTTTCAACCTCACGGGTGGCACTGAGATGCCTGCAACTACTTAGGAGCATCTGTTCTTTAGTGCAGATCAGTCCTGTGCCTCAGGTCACTGTGTCCCAAGGTCAATCATACTCTACCTTTAGGAACAAAGTTCTCTCATCTGTTTTTCTAGATTGGGGAAGTGGTGACTATTGACAATAATCAAAATCACAAGTTTCTCTGAGCAAATGAGCTTAGACTGTATCATATAGATAGATGATAGATAGTTTCCTTCCAGTATTGTCCAATACAACTTTCTGCAACGATGAAAGTGTTCTGTATTTGCACTGTCCAATAAGGTAGCTACTAGCCATACATGGCTATTAGGGACTTAAAATGTGATTAGTGGACCTCCCTGGTAGCACAAAGGAAAGACGTAGCACTATAAAGCTATCTGCAGCCACTATAGCACAAGTTTGATCCCTGGCTGGCCAGGGAGCGAACCCACATGGCGCAGCAGACCTCTCCTGTCTCAACTGCTGCTCCCTTCAGCACTGTATTTCAGTCAACCCTGTTCTGTTCACCACTCTGTCTGTGGTGAATCTTCTCACCCCCTACACCTCTGGCCTACACCCCAGCTCTTATATGCATAAATAAATAAATATTTTTTAAATAAAAAATAAAATGTGATTAGTAACTGAGAAAGTAAATTTTAAATTTTATTGATTGGTCTTAGATGTATGATACATCCTAGACCATGCAGATGTATTATGATGTATCTTCAATTATAGATAATGAAATTATATCCTATACCACATAGACCATAGATATAACACACCTATTCAACCACGCATCTTTCAAATGTATTGAAATCCGGATGAGGAGTAATCCTAAGTGAGTGCCCCTTGCACCTGGAACAATTCTTGATTAAAGATGTAGGTATACCTTTTATGTTGGCTTCCTTGAAAGCCAGCGGGTTCCTTCTCGCTTCCTGCCTTTGGGGTTTTCAGTCCCAGGGCCCCCCCCCGCGCGCGCCCCCTGGCGGGCAGAGCCCTGACTGCAGCGTGCGCTCTGCTCGGCTCCGTGTGTTGCAGACGGCTCCACCTGCACCATGTCGGAGTGGATCACCTGGTCGCCCTGCAGCATCTCCTGCGGCATGGGCATGCGATCCCGGGAGAGGTACGTGAAGCAGTTCCCGGAGGACGGCTCCGTGTGCACGCTGCCCACCGAGGAGACTGAGAAGTGCACGGTCAACGAGGACTGCTGTGAGTGGGGGCGCCGGCGGCTGGGGCGGCTGGGGTGGGCGCGGGGGTCTCCAGGAGCCCAATGCGATCCCAACCACCCGGGACTCCCCAGCTCCTAGCAGCTGCCTGGTGACCGAGTGGGGCGAGTGGGACGAATGCAGCGCCACCTGCGGGATGGGCATGAAGAAGAGGCATCGCATGGTCAAGATGAGCCCAGCCGACGGCTCCATGTGCAAGGCCGAGACGTCCCAGGCAGAGAAGTGCATGATGCCCGAGTGCCGTGAGTGGGCGGGGGGGGGGGGGGGGGGGGGGGAGGCAACCGGGACAGAAGCAAGGATCTCAGCACCCCCTATCCCTACCACCGTGGAGCATCGAGGTCAGAGGTTGGGCAGGTGCAGAGGGAAATGCAGCCCCCATCCCTGCAGGGCACTGCTAGGAGCAAGATGAAGACCACTGGTGTGTGGGCATCAGCCAGACCCAAAGAAAGTGGCTTCAATCGAAGAGCTAGGGTAGCAAACTGGTGGCCTCTGAATAGATTCACTAACAGTTGTGTTTTATAAAGCCAAGAGAATACTGGGTTGGTGGGTGGAGGGAGTAGTGCATTTAGGCAGGATGTACATTCCCCAGCTTGTAGGTGCCTCACTAGTGTCTACCTGAACTTGCCTGGCACCATAAAGCATTAGGACACCTGCTCTCTGCACAAATGCTCAGTCTGCCCACCAGTGCACACATGTGCACAGCTACACGTGCTTTCTAGAGACTTCAGCAACAAAGTATCCCGAACTGCAATATTGAGCACCAGGTTCCTAGGTATTGGAGTGTTTCTGTCACTAGTAAGACCTGCTCAAATCCTCAGTGGCCCCCTTAAGTGGAGACTGTGTATTCTGATTATTGAGCCATAGCTGATGTCATGTCATGACCACCAGCTAGAGCCAGAGGAGATGCAAAATAAGAGTAGTTTGCAGAGCCACTTCTTGCTCCCTGGCCTTCACTCTTATCTGAACCCACCGATTAAATTCACTTTTCTCCAGGGGCCAGAACAGGGGAAGGTGAGGATAGGGGGCAGGAGGGATCAAAGAAAGCCAGAGGACCCTATTCTTAGTGGCCCATCTGGCTCTTGGCCTAGACACCATCCCATGCCTGCTGTCCCCATGGTCCGAGTGGAGTGACTGCAGCGTGACCTGTGGGAAGGGCATGCGGACCCGCCAGCGGATGCTCAAGTCTCTCGCCGAACTCGGGGACTGCAACGAGGAGCTGGAGCAGGTGGAGAAGTGCATGCTGCCCGAGTGCCGTAAGTCCTGGAGCTCCGGAAGCCCGCCTGGTCTCTCCTGTTCAGCCCAGTGTGGCGAGCACACTGCTGGGCCACAGGGCACAAGTGTCTGCTAGGCGGAGAGCACAGGGTTTGGACCTCTGTTACCAGTTAGTAAAACTCCCACTCAATCTCGTTATTAAGTGGGGATCTCACTACCATGTGCAGAACACCCAAACGGCCAGTTGCTATGAAATCTAAACAGGAGACTTAGATGGACACTTAGCACGGGCTCAGTTAACTCTTCTGGTTTTTAGTTCTTTCCTTCCCCCACTGCCCCTGCCCCAGTGACGGATTCACAGTCAAAGCTTTTTCATTCTTACTGTGACTATTTTTATTTATCTGAGACAGAAAGCTGGACACCAAATCAAGTCACTCCTGCATAATACCTTTTGACCAGTCAGCAAGCCAACAAGCTGTCAAAAGCTTATTGTCCCCCTCATCTCCAAGTCTCTGGGATCAGCTGTATTTAATTCATGGGGACTCTGCTCCAAGCAGAGCTTGTTTTTCTGACTAACCTAATAGCTTCTCAGCTTATGACACTCGCTACAGTCTGTTGTGGTTTCCTCTGAAATGCACTTGTAGTCTTCCACGCTTCCTCTCCCGTGTTGCTCAGGCTGCCTGGTTCAGATCCCGGGTCAGATTACCGTGGTCAGCTCACTCAGCATCCCTGTTCCTCAAAGAATAAAACTGCGGGAAACACTTCCTAGGTCACTCTGAAGGTTAAACCAGGTTAGCACAAGGTGGCAAGCACTGGACATGTACATGTATGTTAGACTCAGTCATGTGTGGAGGTGACCCAGACATCAAACTAAAGCTGGGGCTTTGTCAACCAGCTACCAGAGTTGGGGCTCCAAAACTTTCTACCTGAGACACCATTACCAACTTGAAAACAACTCTTTATATCCACAGTGCCTACTGCATAAAGGGAGGGGGTAAAGAGAACATTTATGGAACACTTACTGTGGGCTTGGGGCATTATCTCATTTAATCCTCACACATGAGAAAAATACCATTTCTCCTGTTTTGTAGAGAAGTCAAAACTATTGAACAAAATGAGCACTTCCTAGATCCAAGCTGGCCTGACTTTGCAAAGCAGTGGAGAGTTTGGAATCATGTGCCTCCCTAGGGCAGACACATGCTGGTTTACTTCCCTTCCAAATTTGTGAGATGCAACTTAGCAAGAAGAATGTGCTGGTTCTCACTGTGTAATAAACCACAATACACTACTTGCTCCCATCCCTTCTCTTTACGGAATGTGCCATTTCTGGTTCCTGTATCTCATGGCGAAAGCCACATGACTTTGGTATTGGTCCACATGGGTCAGTTCTGAGAAGTGGCACCAGGGAGTTTCCAGCCTGGGAAGATTTCCCTGAATAAATTTGCGGAGGCTTGTCTGTGCCACCTGAGGCTGACTGGGCTCACAGAGCAAGAAAGAGGCTCTGAACAACATCTTCAAAGTCTTTTGAGTCACAGAATAGGGAAAATGGGTTCTGGCCCAGGCACCAATCCTGCCTCCATTTCTACCAGCTGTTGGGCTGGGTGCATTAGACAGCCTGTTGGAGCCTTGGTTTCCCCTTCTGTATAATGGGTAGCAGCAGTGCTTGGTACTTCTCACAGGCTCTGTTGAGATGTTCCAAGGACAGCCCCAGACATGAGATAGTCATGCTCATCTGTGTTTTGCCAGCCATCGACTGTGAGCTCACCGAGTGGTCCCAGTGGTCGGAATGTAACAAGTCATGCGGGAAAGGTCACATGATTCGAACCCGGATGATAGAAATGGAGCCTCAGTTTGGAGGTGCACCCTGCCCAGAGACCGTGCAGCGAAAAAAGTGCCGTGTCCGGAAATGCCTCCGAAATCAGTCCATCCAGAAGCTGCGCTGGAGGGAGGCCCGAGAGAGCCGGAGGAGTGAGCAGCTTCGGGAGGAGTCCGACGGCGAGCAGTTCCCAGGTATTGCTCCCAAGCGTGAGGCCCCAGTGCAGAGATGTCAAAGCAGGGGCGTTGGTGGGACTTGAAGAACTTATAGGAGTTTGCTTAAAGGGCATCCTGGGCAGCAGGAAGTCATTGCAAAGGCACTGAACTATTTACTCAAGCAACAAATGGGATGCAGATGGAGCAGAATATGAGGGGAAAATCAGGAAACCAGGCTGGAGAGGTAGGGACCAGGTCTTAAAAAATTACTGGCCTGCTGAGGATTTGAGACTTGGTTCTGTAGTTGAAAAATTTAAGCAAGAATTTTAACAAACCCGTTTGTTAAGTAGTCTGGAAGTGGCAAAAACAGAAGCACAGAAAACAGTTATTAAGTTTTGTTTGTAGTCCACGAGAAAGATTATGTGTCCCCTTCCTTCCTGTATTTTGAGGGAGTTCCAGGAGTTAAAAAAAAAAAGTCTCACCTGGGGTTTCACTGCTGAATAAACTGGCCCAAGCCACGTGTGCAGTAACATCAGAAACTGATGAAACACGTAGGGGTGGCCATGGCTTAGTCTTGGGTATTGGTAGATTAGATCACCTGGGGTGACTGAGGATGGTTCCATGCAAAAGTGATGGTGAATGTATACTCTGAGTTTCTGTTTTTAAAGGTACAGCTCATTTCCCCTTCTTTTCACTTTTTTAAGATATTCATCTCCACCCCCCAGAATGAGAAGAGCCCCCAACAGTTACTATCTGTCCATATCAAAATAGTGTCTGTAGTTCCTAGCAGTCAGGTAGCCAGTCGACAAACACGCATCAAGCCCACCTATGTGCCAGGCAGGCACTATGCCATGGTCTTCTCTTCCATGAGACTTAGTATAGTATTAACTGGAAAATCATGAATTTATTTGGCTATACAAAGGAGTAATGTATCTAGCACTACAGAGCATTCTTTTGAAAGATTTAACCTAACCTCTGAGCATCAGGGAAGTTATCTTTGAGAAAAGTACATTTATCTGCATTTAAAAAATAATAAGCACTTGAGTTTACATAATATTTGAGAGGCCATGTACTGAGGGAACAAAGCCTAAGAGAATGAAATGGCTACTTGAACCTTGAGTGATGGCCCCATTGACAAGCCTCCTACACAATCACTTGACATGATTCTGTGAGCAAGTGGTTTGGGCTTGCTCAGCTGGATGATTCTTCTGAGGTCTCATTCCTGTGGCAATCAGCTGGTGGTCCAATGGGGGCAAGAAGGTCTAAGATGGGCCTCACAAGTATTCCTAGGGCTCAGATGGGCTGGCAGAGACCTCTCCCCCACATGGTTTCTCTAGCAATCTAGCCAGGCTGCTTACATGGTGCTGACAGGGGCCCAGCAGCTTTTTCTCAAGTCATCTTTGCTCATGTCCCAATGGCCAAAGCAAATCAATATAACAAAGCCCAGATGCTAGCAATGGAGAAACAGACTCTGCTTCCTAATGGGAAGGGATGCAAAGTATTTATGGTCATTTTATTGCACTCTATCACATCCCTAATAAGAACTCTAACCATGATTTATCTCAAAACTTTATATACAAGAGAAAAGCAGACTGCTGAAACTGACAGTTGTTTACTGGAGTTCAGCATTCCCTGTTCTGTCCCCAATTTCTGCTGGCTTAACAAGGCCCTGTCATGCTTTTAGGCTGCAGGATGCGCCCCTGGACGGCCTGGTCGGAATGCACCAAACTGTGCGGAGGTGGGATTCAGGAACGCTACATGACTGTGAAGAAGAGGTTCAAAAGCTCTCAGTTTACCAGCTGCAAAGACAAGAAGGAGATCAGAGCGTGCAACGTTCACCCTTGTTAGCAAGGGTGCAAGTTTCCCAGGGCTGCACTCTCGATTCCAGAGTCACCAATGGCTGGATTGTTTGCTTGTTTGTTTATAGCAATTTAAATCGTGTACACTAGATTTCATTTCTGCAGTGTGGTTTGCCCAGTAGTCTCGTGGATGCCAGGGAAACCCTTTCTGTATACTTATTGGTTGGCACGGGCTCAGTGGGCTCCCTCATCCTTGGCTGGCCCCCCTCCAGCACTGACCATCAGCCAGCCCATACGAGGCGGAAACGTGTCCCTCTGGAGCATCCACCTGGGCCGCAGGACCGACCCTGGCTGCCTCAAATGGAGAGGTGATTGTGTCTAGAAATGACACTATGCCTCGGTCCCAGGGTGCAGCAAGGGGGGGAACATTCCCAGCCAGCCAAACAAAGGAGATGCCCCCCGCGCTTGTCTTTGGCCTGTTCATTCTGGCCAGAAACTATTGTTTGCCCATCCTTTTCATTTAGTGGAACTTTAGGTCCCTTGCTGAGTGTCTCCAGTCATCAGTAGTTCTTGGGGAAAACAGAACCAGTAGACGTGAGAAGACACATGGATGTTGGGCGGCTTTCCTTCTTTCACTGAGGAATTCTGAACATACTGCTCTCACACCTCAGTATCGGTTCCTAATACCCCAAAAGAAATGATGGCTGCCTTCTTGGATTATAATGTTGGTTCTTACACTTGAGGCAAAGGGTAACTAAGTCTAGAAAGCATTGTCTCACTTTTGTTTGAACTTTCTGATACTAGATCCTTACCAAGGCCAACGCAGCCAACTGGCCTCCCCAAAGGCCCCAAACCTGAGTTTTAAACACCTATGGACACACATTATTTTGACTTTAAGGTTTTCAAGCTGGTATCTACCAAGGAAACATTATTTTAGTTATATAAACGTACATAAACATCTGCCCATAACCCACCAACCCAGTCCTCTAATACAAATTATTCTTTGTACTTAAAAATTTGGGTTTTTTTTTCCCCCAAGTCACAGAATTTTATTTCAGAGACCAAGAAAGAAGTCTAGGAAGAAAGAAATGTTACAGAATCAAGCTGGGCAAGAAAATCAAAACTATTCCTTTCCCCACCCAGAGGCTCTGGTCCCCGACACACCCATAAAAGGCCAGGGTTGTCCTCTCCCTAGGAGCACTCACAGGCACACAGAATTCCAGGAGACCGACTACCACCGAGTACTCGTAAAAGGCTGTTACTGAGTTGAGTCTATCAGCAGATCTCACTCATTCATTTATTATTAAATTTTTTAAGTAGGTTTCCTTTACTATGCCTAATCCAAATATGTATTATGGATGAGATACATGCACAGTGCTTTGATTACTATTTTAAGAATCTGCATTAAACACAGCAGGGTATTTCCAAACACCATATATATAAATATATATAGCTATATACGCTATAGCCCTGAATCTGTATTATTTTCTGTAACACAAGAGAGTGTTCAATAAAAAACTCACTGGGTCTGTTTTTCTGTTTTTAAACTACGTTGTTGAGAAGGTCGGGCATTTTACAATCGTTATCCACTCAACCATACTCAGCCAAAGGTATGGCTTTTCCCCCCCTTGTTCTGGAGGGGCCGTTGTTAGCACATCCCTGAGCTTCCTCAAGCTTTGAGTCGTTTCCAACACTATTTTTTAAATCCTTACATGAACTGCTTTTTCCTCTCACAAAGGAACATAATAAAAAGAAATAAAAGGTTTAACTTTCTTCTTGGACAAAAAAAGTCTTGATACAGAATCTGCCCAATTTTGCATCAGTCCTATTAGTAAGTGTTTACTCTCAAGCCATGAAAATCAAAGTTCCTTAAGATGATTATTCCTCAGTAACTCTAAGATCAAGTCACCCCAATGTCTTGTGTTCCTGTTGGATCTCTATTAAGTATATTTTAAATCCTAATTTTGGAGATTTAAAACCAGGTAACTGGTTAAAGGCTGAGAATAAGTAACATGATTCTTGTTACATGTGTTATTTTTTTGATTGTTTGTTTGCAAAGGGGAGTTTATGAGACGTATCAAATCTTTTTCTTACCAAAGTCTTGTGTTAGGTGGTTTATAGTTTTTCTGGTTAACCAATCCTTTTGGAAATAAAGACTTTTTACTACAAAAATTAAATTTGTTTGGACTTCCACTTGAGATGGTAGTAAATAGACCATAAGATATCCAATAAAAATTGCCATATAAATTACAAAGCATTTATAATTGTTGTCTATTTTTATCAATGCCAAATCAGTTGCAATCCACTTTATGTCCACATGTTAAGATGACAAGAAGGAGTTCAGAGCTATATTTCCCCACCACGAGACATCGGGTCACTCATCAATCACCCTGCCAAAGCATTTTTAAAGGAAATATGTTGTAGCAAATGAAAATAAAGCCTTGGCTTCTTTAGACCCAGAATTGAAAAAATTAAAAAAGATATGGTGCTGCTTTTAATTTAAACTTTGAGTATTAAATACATTTTAGCCATATTTAGTGTCTGCTCACTTTTTCCAGAAAGGGTACACCATACATTCTCACATAACTGTAACTCTTTAGAAACTTAGTACAGGTCAAATCCATGGCTAAAATGTTAATACAAAAAAATTCTCCAGGTCAAATTATTTCTGTCACCTAAGAAATAGCCCAGATATTTCAAGCAATAGCGTAAAGGAGTTACACATTAAAGTGTACCAAAACAATCAGTACCCTTTCCCTGCAGAGTTAAATACTTATATCCTAAAGATATGGACACTGTTGTCCAAACAAAACTAAACAAATGTTTGATGCCTAATCCCCACACAGAATGACGGAAGACATAGACATTCTCTGATTATTAAGTGCTATTAAATTTAGTAAGAGTTCATTTTATTTTTCATACTGCCCAAAATAGGGAGAATGAAAGAAAATAAATTCGTCCCCTTTGAAAATGAGATACAGGGCCTCCCTGGTGGCACAAGGGGTTAAATGTCAGCAATAGGAAGCTGTCCATAGCCTCTGCAACAAGAGTTTGATCCCCAGCCCAGGAGCTAACCCACATGGCACAGCAGACCTCTCCTGTCTGGCCCGCTGCTCCCTCAGCAGTGTATTTCAGTCAATCTGCCTCTGTCTTTGGGGAATCCTCTCACCTCCACCACCCTCCTCCTCCACCTCTGGCCTGCACCGCAGCTCTTGTATGCATAAATAAATATTTCAAAAAAAAAAAGAAAATGAGATGCTACAACAAACTATAAATAGCAGCTGAATCTTAATGAGCATGAATATAATTCTTTAAAGCCTTTGAGATCTCTGAGCAAAAGATCTGTACTGAAATGTCAAATTTAAATAATGGCTTCTCTGCTTTAGAAACACTATTGGTTCAGAAGGTTTTGTACACTCTGTAGGCAGAGAGGAAGAAGCTGTCTGATGGTTAGGCACAAAGAATCTGGGTTCAAGCCCCTCTATACCCTTGAGTAGCTCTGGGGCTAGTTAGTTTACCTTTTCTTGGCCCTAAGCGTTGACACAAGCTTTCTTACACTTAAGGATTTCTCTCTCTACCCCACCACTCAATTTAGCCAGTTCTCATATTAAGAGCAGTCCTGATGGTACCCTAACATAAGAGTCACTGAAAGCCAGTTTACCTACCCCTCAGTCTCTCACTTCTCCATAAACCAGTAAATGCTCACTTTGTGTTAAAGCTGGCTTCAGTTGCATTTCTGTCACTTATAAATGAAAATGTCCTGACAAATATAAAATATGCATGCAGTACTTCTATCCAGCTATAATCAGAGCAAACTGTAATTTCAGACTTTTCATTTAACATTCATAATGTCACAGCATTCATTAACATTTTCTCATATTGCTCTAAATTCTTCCGAAGACTCAGAATATGTTCTTAACTACTTCCTGGCTTTAGAATTGATTGGTAATAGTTCTATTTTAAGATTCTGTGTTTAGGGTCTCCCTGGTGGCACAAGGGTTAAGACGCAACTTATGAAGCTTTCCGCAGCCACTGCAGCACGAGTTCGAACCCCAGCCAGGGACCTACCCACATGGCACGGCAGACCTCTCCTGATGCCCACCACTCCCCTCAGCAGTGTATTTCAGTTGATCTGCCTGTCCTGTTCCCCACTCTGGTGAATCCTCTCATCGCCCCCATCCCCTCACACCTCTGGCCTGTATCCCCGTTCTTGTATACATAAATAAATAAACCTTAAAAAAAAAAAAAAAGAATATCTTAAAAGATTCTGTGTTTGAACGGTTTTCTTTACTCAAGTTAGTATTAGCAAAAGGCAAACATCTTAACAGACTCCTTTACAACACTCGAGAGTTTGTAATAGTAAAGATTCTTTTTTCCCCAAATGTTGGCATGCAACTCCCTCTGGGTAATATTAACCTGGAATTTACCAGTCTACCTGGGAAATCAGAAGGGCCCTTGTAAAAATACCCAAATCTCTCTCCTGCTCCTGTATCCACTACATTCCTGCTACTCAAAGCAAGATCTGCAGCCCAAGATCATTAACAAAAAGTTCATACCATCCTACAATGAGACAAATACGGAAGGCAAATTTAACACTGCCACAATATTTAAGAGTATGATTACTTTTCTAGCAATTCCCTTTTTTTTTTAAATTACATTTAGCAAATGGGACCAGTCCATAACAATGGAGATTAACTGACCCTTCACCACAGACATTCTGAAGCACTGCATTATGTCATTCTCCCTCACTGGTCAAAAAGAGAGGCATGCCTGCAAATCTTAGACTGAATTTCTCAGATGCTTCATACCTACACAGTATGCTCCTTCCAGACTTGTATACCTATAGATCTACGCTTAAGCTCCCCATACTGGCGCTTTGTCTCATTCCTCTAACATTTTACCTATCAAGCAAGATACATGCCCCATCACCCTCTGGTTTTGCCACAGAATTTCCCAGATTAGCAGCCTACTTCCATTTCCTTGCCTTCCAATCACACCCAACTCACTATAATCGAGTTCCATAAGCAGATGATTAAAATAAACCCTTCTAAACCATCAAGAACCTCTAAACAATCACCACTATCTCTACTGCACCCATGCACGGCACCCAAATCTTTGTACCATCTCCTTGGCTTCTGGGCTCCCCCGGCTCTCTCCAGTTTCCGAGTGCTTCTCTCAGTTTTTGCAGCCTCTTGATCTTCTACAAATGAAAATGCTCATTTTCCCCGAAATTTTACCTAACTTGGGCCTTTTCTCAATCACACTTGTTACTTCAATCCACTCCCATCTCTTCGATCATTAGCTCAAAATAAACTCCCAAGCTACACTTTCAGTCCTGGCCTCTGCTTTTGAGTTCCAGCCCCCACTCCCCAAATGCCTACTGGACTAACCCTGTATATAAGTGCCACGATTGCCATATATTTCTATCACTAGAATGTTGCCTGTGCTCCTTAGTCATTCACCAAATTACTTTTCTCATATGCCAGGCACTCTGGGTAAAGCAACAGACACAACTGACATGGTTATTCCTCCCAGCACTTACAATACGGAAGAGCAGGCAGGTCAGATGAGATATAACAATCACAGATGGTAAGTAGATAGAGGACAGTGTGATCAAAGAGGGCTCTCTAAGAAGGGGGCATCTAAGCCAGGAGCAAAAAGTACAAGAGGGCCAGCACACAGTGAGGAGTGTAGATACTGGTTCAAGTGCATTGAGATGATGACATATTTTAAGAAACAGCATTAACATTTATTTCATAGTCTGAAAAATATCCCTTTGGTCGCATTGAAATAATAGCATTGTGGGGGCAAAATGGAAATAAAAGACTACTTCAGAAGTTGTGCAGTAACCCGAGTGTGAGGCCAGAGAAACTTAGATAAAAGTGCAGAACAAACAGAGACAGAACTCACGGTCCTGAAAGTTTTTTACCTGGCCACACTTGTCATGTGGACTACCACTAGATTGGATCCAAACATCCCCGGTTCAGAGCTCTTGGTGGTTTTCTGTTACTTACAGAAGGAATATCCTATTTAAAGCCTGTCACAAGGGGAGCCAAGTCTACTTTACCGCTCCGTTTTCCCACTGCACTTGACAATCTTTTCAGACTAAGGTTCACATTCCAGAACACAGCCTACACTCTGCCAACTCTGCCTTTGCCCAGGCTTTTCCCCAGTCTCTCTACCACCTTCTTTTCCTCTTCTCCCCATCTCAAATCCTACTAATCCCACCAATCCAACAAGCTCCAGCTAAGTACCACTACTAACAGGTAAGAGTTTGAAAGTGATCACTTTATCATTAGTGCCTCCTACTAATTTGCCAGTTACCCATTCAAAGGGACCATGATGTACAGGAATGGGAGAATAAGACAAGTGCTGATGAAAAGATAGAAAAGGAATCAGCTAGATCTTATGTACGACCTAGTTGATAAAATTTTAAAGGCCAAAGAATAAAAGGACCAATTTCTATTATAAAACTCTAAAGTCCCAAATTTAGAGAAACATTAATGTAACATGTAAGTCAATAGGCCATAATGTCCACCCCTGGAATACTGTATATCCGGAAACAAACAACACAGGGAGCAAATTCAGAGGGCAGAAATTCACGACTATTTAGAAAACTCTGCTTGAAAGATTTTCCACATATTTAAAGAGACATAAGAGATTCTAAAGGGATGTAATTCTAAAGGGATGTAATTTCAAATGCTAACTGGGCTATTTCAGAGCAGGATTGGGGAACCATGGACCGAAGACCAAAACAGTCCACCATCTGTTTTTATACAGAATGGTTTTTACAATTTTAAATAATTGGAAAAAATTTAAAAATAAGATTAATATTCCATAACACATGAAAATGATATGAAATACAAATTTCAGTCTCCACAAAATAAGTTTATTGGAACACAACCATGCTCAGTCACTTATACATTGCTATGGCTGCTTTAGTGCTACAACGGCAGAGTTGAATAGCTGGGACAGAGACTATATGGCCCACAAAGAGAACATAACATTTCCTATCTGGCCTTTTACAGAAAAAAACTGCCAATGTCTCAGATAGAAAAAAAAAATGACCACATGGGTGAGAACTATCACGCCATGAAACTTGCCATTTTTATGAGAAAAGATGTCAAGCCAGAAGGCCTCCCCAGTGGCGCAGCAGTTGAGCGCTGGGCTGCGGGACTGCCCACAGCCTCTGCAACACCGATTTGATCCCAGGCCACCTCAAGGGTCACACATGGTGCGACAGACCTCTCCTGCCGCACCTGCTGCTCCCCTCAGCAGTGTATTTCGTCAGTCTGCCTGTTCTGCTCCCCACTGTGGCTCTGGTGAATTCTCTCACCCTCCCGCGCTTCTGACTGTACCCAGTGCTTGTATAAATAAATAAATCTTAAAAAAAAAAAAAAAAGATGTCAAGCCAGAGATTAAGAAAGACAAGGCTATACCTGTGATTATTTGATGTAAATCAAATGAGAGATTTTGGCTTCCAATCCTGCTGGAGTATGGGATTTATCATTCTACCTCAGACAATTAGAACGCTGGACTAAATATGTGAAACAACTGTTTTCAGACACAGGATACCTAGCAGCACAGGACTGCAATCCCTGATGAAGAGAAACAAGTAAGGGAAATCAGTAGATAGCCCTGGCCTTCTCCCTGGAGGCACATCCAGACTGCAGAGGAGATAGGGGATTCCAAGCAGCAAAAAAGACAGACACTGGAGATTGGGGAACTTGAAGCAGCTGAAAACTGCAGAACAAAGTTCTGGAGGGGTGAGGGCTTCGCAGAGAAAAAAGCTCCAAAAACATGCACAGGGCCAATGGGTCTTTGCAGAAGGAGCTGTGAATACAATGGTTTCCCCAGAGCTCACAGGAAGCTGGGAATCCTCAAGTTCCCACTAGCCAAATTAAGCAGTCCTTACTGATTACTCAGGACATTTGGTACAGACCCAAAAAGGCAAAATTATCCCAAGAAAACTACAACTTGAAATGAATGAAGCCTAAAAACATGTCTTGAAAGGATCAAACTCAACTGCAAGTAAATTAACTGCTTACCAGAAAATAGCCCAATAATCTCCAGATGAAGAGCAAAAAATCTAGGCACCCAACAGCATAAATATGCAATGTCCAGTATTCAATCAAAGCTTAACAGATCTGCAAAAAAAGCAGAAAAATGTAACCCATAACTAGAGAAAAACCAGTCAATACAAAACAGATCAAAAAAATATAGAGATGATGGGATCAGGAGACAGGATATTAAAGTAGCTATTAAAGGTATATTCAAATATTCGTAGAAGCGCTCCTCAACCAAAGCTCTCCCCAAGAGAATAAGCCCTACACAAGTTTATCTCTTATCTCTCAAGGATGGTGCACAGCTAGTACTATTCTAGATGCATACAAAAGAAGTGGATTCATTATGCACAACAGATAATGCATTTGACTCAATTCTCTAGAACCAGTTGAGAGGGGCAATAGAAGAGAAATACAAAATACAAAAACATACTGAGAGATATAGAAGACATAAAAAAGAACCAAGTAAAACAAAGAATAAACATACACACACCCCTGAAAAGTAAATATTCAGCAGATGGAATTACTATCAGATGAAATAATTGCAGAAAAGGTACCCAGAACTAGAAGACACAGAAATAAAAATTACCCAATAGTGAAGCACAGAGAGGGGGGAAAAAAAAAAAAGTAAATTGAGATAACATGATTTAACTTTTAGGCTGCACCGCTTTCAATCAGTACTAACAAGGATATGTGACAGTGCCATAGTATCGAAAGCCACAGGATAGGGGGCTCCCTGGTGGCGCAAGGGGTTGAACACAGCACTGTGAAGCTATCCGCAGCCTCTGCAGCATGAGTTCGATCCCCAGTCGGCCAGGGAGCTACCCCATGGTGCAGCAGACCTCTCCTGTCTCGCCCACTGCTCCCCTCAGCAGTGTATTTCAGTTAGTCTGCCTGTCCTGTTCCCCACTCTGTCTCTGGTGAATCCTCTCAAGCCCCACTCCTCTGGCCTATACCCCAGTTCTTCATTGCATAAACAAAATAAATAAATCTTTAAAAAAAAAAAAAGCCACAGGATAAATATTTTAGCTTCCTGAGCTAATGTTAATTAGGATTCAAAGACATTGGTGTGCTTTGCCTCGGCTGTTTCAGGGCTTGATCCTCTAAGGGATTTATGTTTAAATATTCCCCTCCTCTCTCCTCTACAGTTGGGATTCTGCACGTTTGGCCAGGAGCACTTCACAGAAAAAGTTTAAATAACACTGCTTAATATTGAAGAAATCACTAAGAACATCAAGCCATTTCATTTCTAGTTCACCTGTGGAATGACCAATATTGATTTTTAGATGCAAAACCTAAAGTTTTGTTGGAAAAAGGCACAGAGTTGCTACAATACATTCCCTCCAACACTCCTGCAAGAAACCACCAAAATGACAAGTCATCAAGCATTATCTTGTGATAGCAGATCAATTTTAATTCTAGCACCTGAAGCTATACAAGGGCACGCTTTACAAAACCTCATGGACCTGTTGTACACATTCAGTAAAGTGACAACTGTGCAATACCACTTAGCATCTCAACATCAAGAACATACTTTTGAATTGTTTAAACACAATCCACGGAATTAAAAACAAAATCAGAAGCCACCCACAGTTTTACTAATCCTTAATGAAAAATTTGACACTTACTACTTGATAGAACAGTCAATATCTAGTAGGGGATACTGAAAGTGATTTCAGATTCACATCCTGTTGTACTCTATTGGGAAGGTTTCTTGAGAAAATGTGACTGGCCGAAGGTGGGCACAAATGGACCAGAACAGTAAGTAAAGTTCTACCACAGTTTCTGCAGTTTTGCTCTTTTTTCTGTCAGTTAAAAGTGAACAGTGAGAATTAAATACTTATCTTTACATATACACAAGGTATGCTGTGAAAGCATATTTGCTTACAAACATATAAAAATACTTGTTAACTAGTTTGATAAGAAAATAATGTATAAAAGTATATAGCAAAAAGATTAATCATCTCTGACCCTGGAAAGATCAATTCCATATTTTATATTACAAACAAAAACAGTTTTAGTTGTTTGAATCCCTTATCCAGAAATACTTGAAAAGGAAGACAGAAATTATTTACTTTTCCTCTCAATATGGCTGTGAAGATACTTCAATTGAAAAACCAAGACCATCGAAACGCCTAAGTCCAGAATGAGTTCAAATATTTGGCCACATAGAATATCATCATCTTAAAAGGAGGAATAATGATAAAGACTTTATAAGCAGGTTTTAATCTATAAATACAATAGGCATTTTGGTATTTTTGGCTACTGGAAAACAAAGACTATAGCATCAGTAAAGGTCTGAGATGTCTCATGTTTATGGATTTAATTCAGTGTATTTCAGGTTAACTAAAATTGACATCAAAATTTTTAGATAGGCAAAAATTCACATTTTAAAAAAACTCCCTATGCTTCTATGTAGAGAACAGTAGGCAATAGGACTCCAGAAGTTAAAAATTATTTCACAACCTGTGACTTAGGCTTGTCAAACAGCTGCATTCCAAAACTGATTTTTCTCTATTAAAATGTAAGCCCTTAAATAAGAATGTCTGTGTATATACATATTTTAAAAGAATCAAATAATCTTTGAAGCAGCCTTAGTGTTACCTTTAAATCTGTCTTGAAATGACCATAGGAGTAGCTCACAGAAAGGATTAGCCAGCTTCTGGTCTAAGGCTACCATGGTGATGTATGTCTAAGGCTAGAAAGGTACCAACAAGATGTAAACCATAAGGAGAGAGGGGGAAGATGAGGGCTTTTCCTGGCAGTTGGAAGCTAAAACTCAAGGGATTCTTAGAAAATGACACAATGGCAGCCTTTATTGTCTTTTTCTTTCCGTGTTGGTTCTGGTGAAGGAGGACATTCCTGCTCTTGAAATTTCCTGTAAGACAGAAAACTCTACATGTAATTGCCTTCTTGGAAATGAATTATTACAAATGCAGGTTATTTCTGGACAAGTCTAGTTCATAGGCTTATGTTTTTCAGGGTTCAATTTCAAGTAATCAATCAAAGCAAATCTTTGGGGCGGGGGAGGTACAAATCCTTCAACATCAGCATAAACCCAACAGTGCGACTTTCATTAATGTTGAGTCCTGAATCAGGGAAGATGCTGAACTCAGCAACTTGTAAGTTCTCGTTCCAATCTGAGATTCTGTTAACTCTAAGGTGTACTTAAGGATACATATCCATGACTGGAACATGGTAAAAATTAACCTGGTAAAGTATACAGTCCCTATCCTTGTCCTGAAAATTTACTAGCTACCAGTCTTGGTTTTTTTGAAGGGAATAAAAAAAAAAATCTTTTTTATAGTTGCCCTGTGAATAAAGTAAGATCTTTTTATGTTTCAATGCGTAACGGTACATGGCATTTAAAAAGCCTCCAGTAAGTTATCTCTATAACTCACTAGGCAGCACATCAGTCTCTCAATCTGAAAAAAGTCTCCACTACTCCTTCCTCACTCTTGACTAACAGATATGGATAGATTCTGAGGATCAAAATCAAGGACAAATTTTTAAAAGGCACTAAGAAGTACTTTAAGGCACTAGTTCATCAGTGTGTGAACATGTCTATGTACACATTAAAATATATGTAACATGAAATTTACCATCTCAACCATTTTGAGGAGTACAGTTCAGTGGCATTAAATACATTCACCACATGATGCAGCCAGCACTACCATCTAGCTCCAGAAATCTTTTCATCTTGTAAAAGTCAAACTGTATTCATTAGATATAGCAGAACTCAGATTTTTAACAAATTATTAAAAACCAAAAAATAATCCTCACCCCCCCCCCTCCCAAAGAGAGCAAATACCTTGCCAAGGGGCTATAAAAAAATATAATAAGCCCATAGCTCAAATGTCAATTATATACACAATTAACACAAGCCCACCCTATATGCCTGTGAAACCATCTAACTAGCAGAGAAACCAGTAGATCTTGAACGTGGAGGGTGAGGTAGGGGCCAAGATGTGAATCAATCAAATGAACCCCACCCACTAAAGCAAGTCACTCTTCCTCACATACCACACACACAGGAGCTCCAGCCAACCTCACCCATCGCTTCAAACTTCCTGGAACCCATTAACACTTTCTGAACCACAGGGGCCTCTGAGGCCAGCTAAGAGAAAAACCTGTAATCTGGGAAACTACGCTTCATGTCCAGGGAAGTGTGAAAACTCCACTGCAGTCTACTCATGACCTGGGAAGAACTGGGCAAGAAGCAAGGCTCTGGAATTAGGTACTGATTCAAGTCCCGGCTCTGCCATTTAATACATCTGAACTTTACACAAGTTATTTAACTTCTCTGTGCCTCATTTCTCTTACCTGCAAATGAGGATAAAAAGAAAGTACCTAGCTTCTAGGGTTGTGTTGAGGATTAAATGGGATGTAAGTAAAGCTCACCAGGGTATCTAGCTGGTGTCATCACCTCTTTATATCACCATCTTTGGAAGCTACATATATTCTTTTCAACCCTATGTATATCCTCTACCTCAGTATAATTCAATTAGGTTTTATATAAGGAAGTAGCTGGAATACAGTATGTATGTAGTTAAAAATTTTAATATGCCACATGCATTAGCCTCTAAAACATAACCCCTCCTACTCTCTCTTACTGAAAACAGTTAATGGCATTTTTTTTCTCACTTAATAGTTTTTAAAAGTACAGTGTGATTACCCATCAAATTCAAGAAGTTAAAACAAAGATCCAGAATGTGTTTGCTTACCTTATAACCCGGACAAGTTCGTGGAAAGCTTGATCTACATTCATTCTAATCTTTGCTGACGCCTCCATGTATGTTACCTTAAGTTGTCGTGCTAATTGCTGTCCTTCTTCCTGTGTTATCTGAAATTCCAAGAATTCTGTGTGAGATCTAGTATTAACATGAAGAACTGCTCCATCTAATCCCCAGCCACAGACGACACTGTTAATCCAGTCCAACCCAGACTATTTTATCACAAGATGAAAAGAGACTTGTGCTCAACATGAAATGATGGCCACCTCCACAGAACTCAGAACAAACTTAGGACACAAATCGGAAAGAAAAGTACAAAGTGCTATCAGTCTACAGATCAGGTAGTCGGGGAACGCTTCCCTGGGGAAGTGATATTCAAACTAGAGTTAAATAAAGATTATGGAGTTAGTCAGGGTAGGGTAAGGAAGCATTCCCAACCAAGGAAATGGCAGGTGTGAAAGCCATGAAAGTGGATGGACTTTCCAAGCTCCAGAACCTGAAAAAGCCTACCAGGGCTGGCATAGAGCATGCCAAGGGAGAAAAAGGCGAGAGGTGTGGCTGAAGAGGAGGGCAGGTCTTAAGAGCCCAGTCGATCATCTTCATCTCTCTATTCCACAGTAATGGGTACACAGGAGACATTCAGTATGTGGTGAAAAATGAATAATGAATAGGATCACAAGCCCTGACAGCACCTTCCTTACATTAGGAGGTGAAGGGTGATAGAGCTGATTGACAAATCAAATGGTAGGCTAGAACAGGAAAATACTAATGGAGTAAGTAAATGCATATATTTCAAATGTAAAAGGTGTGAATGGTGCTACTGACCTAAAATTATTAAACTAATTTATATTCACATTCATACAATGAGGCTAAAAATTGTATTTCTAAAAAAAAGACTTTCATTACAGTCATTACCAAAGGTAAACACTTGCAGAAAAGTCAAAAAGACAGTACTTACTTAGGAACCTATAGAGGCACATTCTTCTGGTCTTTCCAGTGATGTACATTTCTCTCTACAGAAATAGGGTAACTTTTGTATATTTCTCTTAATTTCTGGAAATAGGATAAACTCCCTTATATCTAGACATTCTTTTATAAAAGTGATGGGGTTTTCTATATAAACAATCATGTAATTTGCTAATAAAGATAGTTTCATTGCTTCCTTTCTGGCATGGCTGACTTATTTCTTTTTCTAGCCTTATCTCACTGCCTAGAACCATCAGTACAATGACAGCAGTGGAGAGAGGGGTAGGTACTTTTGAGTTGTTTTTAATCTTGAGGCAAAGCACTGTCTTTCCCCATTAAGTATGCAGTCAGTTGTTGGGTTTTATCGTAGAGGCCCCTTTTATCAGATTAATAAAGTTCTGCTTAAAAAAAGCTTTTATCAGGAATGGATATTGGATTTTATTAAATGTACTTTTCTGTTTCTAGAGATCATATGATTCTTCATTCTTAGTCTATTAATATGGTGGACTACATTGATCCATTTGGTATGCCAGACCAACACTGTATTCCCAGAATAAACTTTACTTGGGTGATGATACATTGTCCTTTTAATATGTTATTGAATTCTATTTATTAAAATTTTATTAAGGACTTTTAAATCTATGCTCATGTGAGGTAATGGACTATTGTTTTCTTTTCTTACTTTTTTTTCTGGCTTCATATAATGCACTGGAAAGAATTCTTTCCTCTTCAACTTTCTGGAACAGTTTCAGCAAAATCAGTTGGGTAAAATTCACCAATGAATCCATCTGAACTTGGAGTTTTCTATTCTTTTTTGTTTGTCTTACATGAGCTTTGGTATTTTCTATCCTATAGCTTGTTGTCTTTATTGGTATGAAGTTGTTCATAGAATTTCTATGTAATTATTTAAGTATCTGAAAGTCTGCAGGTATCTCTTCCATTACTGATATTGGTAAAATGTGTCTTCTTTACCTGATCATCCTGGCTAAATTGATTACTGTGATCTTCTAAAAACCACTTTTTGGTATTTATCTTTCCCATGGTTTTTCCACTTTCAAACTCATTGATTTCCAACCTTATCTTTATTATTTCCCTTGTTCTGATTACTATTGTTCAGTTTGCTTTTTAAATTTTTCTTCTAGTCTAAAACAGATGCTAAAGTCATTGAATTGAGACTCTTTTCTAACATAAGCATTAAGTGCTATAAATTTCCTTATATATGCTTCTTTAGGAGCACCCTAAAAATTCTGGTAAGTTATCTTTTCATTGTCAATCAATTCATAATATTTTGTAATTTCTTTTTTTTTTTTTTGTATCAAGGGTTATTTAGAAATATGCTATATTTGGAGATTTCCTAGATATGTTTTGTTATTTCTATTATTGATTTCTGTATTTTCTGGTACTGATTTCCAATTCAATTCCCCTGTGGACAAAGAACATGTTTTCTGACTAGAATCCCTTCAAATTTATGGAGATTTGTTCTATGATTCAATCTCATTTTAAAAAAAATAAATATGTTCTGTTGTTGTTGGGTCAAGTATTCACTAAATGTCACTTAGGATAAATTATTCAATAGTGTTGTTCAAGCCATCTATATATTTACTAAATTGTACTTACTAGGTCAATTCTCTTTGCAGTTTTTTTCCAGTTTTGCTTCAAGAATGTGAAATTGTTACTAGCTCCCATGAATGTTTGGGACAGTTCTGTCCCTTTGATGAAGTAATCCACTTATTACAAAACATCTTTATTTTTATTAATATTCTTCAGTCTGAGATCTACTTTGATATTTATATATCCATTTCAACATTCTTTTCATTAGTGTTAGCATGGCATATTTTACCTTATCCTTTTCTTTTCTTTTTTTTTTTTTTTTAATAGAGGCATGTTTTATTTATTTATTTTGTTTGTTTGTTTGTTTTGTTTATACATGCACTGGGTACAGTCAGAAGCGCGGGAGGGTGACAGAATTCACCAGAGCCAGAGCGGGGAGCAGAGCAGGCAGAAGGACCGAAGTACACTGCTGAGGGGAGCAGCGGGCGGCAGGAGAGGTCTGCGCGCCATGTGGGATCCTACGCCGGTGGCCGGGGAGCAGCCGGGGATCGAACCGGTGCCGCAGAGGCCGCGGGCAGCTTCGCAACCCAGCGCTCAACCGCTGCGCCACCGGGGAGGCCCCCTTATCCTTTTCTTAACCCATTTGTATCTTTAAAATTTAGAGTAGATTCTAGGGTCTTGCTTTCTATTCTCTTCATCCAACCTGACATCTACCTTTTAATTCAAGTGTTTACACTATTTACCATCAATGTGATTGATATAGCAGATTCATCTTGAAATTTGTTTTCTGTCCATCCATGATTTGTTCTATATATCCTTTTTCTACCTTCTTTTGGGTTAATTATAATGTTTTTATGATTCCTTTTATGTCCTTTGCTAGCTAAAGAACGATACATAGCTAGTATGTTATTTTAATGACTACATTAGTTTATAATACACATTTTTTACTCATCACAGTCTAATTCAAATATTATACTAATTTATATAAAATAGTATGTTTCTCCCTCATTCTTTTTTTACTGTTACCACCTTTTATTTAATCGCCTATGTTTTAAAGAGATCTAAGTAATAAAAGTATTTATATTTACCCACATAACTGCCATTCCTGGTACTAGTACTTTCTTTCTTTGTATAGACCAAGATTTTCATTTATTATCATTTTTCTTCAGGCTGAGGACTTCATTTCACATTTCTTGTCATGTAGGTCTGCTGGTAATAAATTATTTCACCTTTTGTGTACCTGAGAAAAGTTTTTATTTCACCTTCATTTTGAAATAAAGTTTAGTGGGTATTGAACACCAGGTGAAAGTTTTTTCTTTCAATACTTAAAAGATTGTTGCTCCACTTCTTCTGGCTTGATTCACTTTCTCTGAGAAACAATGATGGCTGATGTCATCCTTGTCTTTATTCCTATGTTTGCAAAATATTCTTTTTTCTCTGGTTATTTTCAAATTTTCTCTTGATTACTAGCTTTGAGTAATTTCATGTGATTAATGTGATACAAGACAAAATGCTGTAATTTGCATTATATTTCATGTGCTCAGGGTTTGATGAACTTCTTAGATATGTGCATTTGTAGTTTTCATTAAATTTTGAAATTTTTTATCACAACTTCTGTTAATCCCCCTTCAGTGTATTTTTCATCTCCAAACACTGTAGTTTTAAAGTTCTGGAAGTTTGATTTTGATCTTTTACATCTCAACTTAACCTTCAGTTTTTTCTCTAGCTTCTTGGACATATGGAAGATGATAATAATAATACTTGTTTTGATGTTTCTATTTACTCATCTGGGTCATTTCTGGGTCCATTTTCATTTGTTGTTTTTTTCTTCTTATTATGGGTCCTTTCTCCTGCTTATATTTAGATGCTTGCTAATTTTTGAGGGATGTCTGGGTACTAGATTATTATCTGTTGGGGACTAGATAATTTGTATTCCTGTATCCTTAAATTTTCTTCTGGAATGCAGTTATTTGGACAACCTAATACAACAAGAATTACAAGGTAATTCTGATCAGAAAAATTATTTCTGGTCCCATCTAAGTTTAAGGTAGTGTTCCCTCTAATTTTTTCAGGCAATTTGCTCTCCAATTTCAGATTTCATTCCTAAAATTCAGCAACTTCAATGTGATAGCATTAAGTTATTACATAAATATATATACATCTACGAGTTACTTTATAATAGTTTATCCTGTTGTGTTACAAAGGGTAGCAGATAGATTTTACAAAGCTCTGGTATATGCAAGTTTATGTAATTTTTAAATTTACCCCACCTCTCTTCAAAACAACAAATATACTATCAGGATTATGGTTTTGAAATATCAATCCAATCAAGCAAGCAATTTACAATAATGTAAACATGTAAGGAAAGAACGCTTCACAGAACCATCCATTTAGAAAGAAAAATTCCTATTTTAGGAAAATTTGACACAGGAAATTTCTTCCTACAAAAATATCTCCAAGTTGTCACAAATTCTGTTCCTTTATCCTGGAATGTCAATCTTTTTTCTCCCAAAGCTATCTCTGCTCAATTTGTTTCTCACTAATAGCTCAAGATGCAAGCAGTTGAAACATCCCCAAAGTGTTAATGCTGTTTTAGAACAGCATCCCAGAGCACCCAAAACACCCTCTGACACACCAGTGACTAAAGTCTTAACAAACCACACACCATTTTGCTGTCTCATTCTCCCACCATAAGGACCTTTGTAGCAAGGGAGTAAGGCAGATTTGTCTATATACACCCAGAGCCTAAGAAAAGCTGTAGTAGTTAACTAAACAAGTATCTGAGCAAATAGAGACCAATCAAATAAATGTCTTCAAGTAACAGAAAAGATGTTAAGAAAAATTAAAATATCTGAAATCAATCTCTATAACTTACTTACTTTATTGACATAAATTTGATATGGAGAGGGAAATAAAAAGGCCCTTAAGAATTTTGCTATTTGTCTTTATGCTCTATCACTCTTCAAAAGGGCATCTTACCCTACCCTTCCTCCAAAATGTAATTCTGCTAGAGAGGAACAGCAAATGACCTATTTTTATACCTAGTGGGAAAAATTAATGAACAGTCTGGATGATAAAACAATCCCACTGTGAAGGCTGTTTACATGCTTCATTTATTTATTTTTAAAGGATAGTTTCACATCACTGTCTTCCAGGAACTGAGGTCAGCAAAGTTTATAAACACATTTCTGCTCAAGAACTCTCTAAATATAAAGCTGCTTTGGAAATCACTGGTGTAGTATAATTTTTAATAATGAAATAAAAAAGTATCATTACCATCAAAGCAAATAAAAATGAACAAAAAGGATACTATATGGAACAAAGCCAAAGCAAGTACACACACGAGGATTTCCTAGAGGTTCCCTGAATTAGAGAATTTTATAAAGATACCAAATACTGACAACACCTTATCTCCTGGATATTCTGATTTGGTAGATCTAAGCGCTACACAAAAATGTTTTGCTTAAAACAACCAAGCCAAATCTGATACAACAAATTCACAGATCTATATATGGGAACCTCTAGTGAGACTCAGTGAACATTAGTAGAAATTCACAAGAATATGGACATATGCATATACTGATATAGCTATTCTATAAGTACATATCTAGATGGATGGATGGATGGATGGATGGATGGATAGATAATCTCCAAATACAGAAGAGCAAAATGGGAACAGGAAAGCAATTTTGTCTGAACAAACTGGGCTTAATAGGATAGACCACAATGTTGCAATACTTACTTAGGAATATAATGAGTTAATTAATAACCTGAGTTTACAGAAGCAAAATGTGTTTTGTTTTTAAAAAATATCTATTATGTAGAATCATCATATTGATGTCTTGTTCACTGATGACCTGATTCATTCAGCAAATATTTAATATTTAATGAAGCTTTTATTTGTTGTGCTACTAGGGTCAGAGCATGAACAAACTATTAAGTCCTTATGGCACATACATTCAATGCTATGAGCCTTTTAGATACAGACAAGGCACAAGCAGGTAAAGCTGGAAGACTGTTACTCTATTACTTAAGAAGGAGGGATCCTTTTCTCTAGGAAGGTGCAGGGGCACACTGAGGGTCAAAGAAATAACAGGAATGGGAGTTAGCAAGCCTAGGTATCTATTATTAGTAGTACTGTATAATGGGTTCTTTTCTTGAATTAGCAGTGGCCACTAATAATTAAGCACCAATAATTACTGGGAAGCTAAAATAAGCCATGAAGGAAAGAGGGGGATAAAAACAGAAAGCAAAAACAATTCCTGTCAATTCTAGACAGGGCTGAGTCAAGCACAGGGAACTTGAAATCAGATAGATCATGAAGTCCACAATCCAAGCTCATACTGTATTAAATTTCAGAATTAATGTGCTGTCATACTTAGCTTTATATTTTTGCAAGGACAAGCAAATCATTTACCTACATTTTCTTACTGCACCTCTGATACGATAAACAAAATGATTAGTGTTTCTCTAAGGAGCCAGATATGTGGCAACACAAAATAGTCATTCTAATTCTACATATCTCTTTTCATTTAATGTAAACTTCAATGACTACTTTTTCTACTACTCTGTCATCAATTCCTAGGAAAAAGGGCTGAATAAATACTGGATGGATGGGCGGATGGATGAATGGGGAAAAGAAGCTAATCCAGAGATACAGAAGTCGAAAGGAAACATGCAGCGTCACTTCTAACAATCTCCTTACCTTGACAAGTTGAGGATCTTTGGAGCCAGTGGTAGGAATGTCCAGAGCTGACCCCCAAATTCAAAGAACATAAGAAACAGGCATTTGCTATCTAACAGAAAATAGGCTAGAAACTAGAGGAAAGCCCAATAGACCATGTCCAAGCCAAAGGCAGAAAAGAACAAACTGGGTTAACAACTAATGCAAGCCAGACTGATTACTAAGAACTTAAAGAAAAAGCCAAAAAGTAAAAATTACTGAACAGGGGAAAATAAGTATTTATGGGATCCCTACAGTCTACCCAGGGTCAGCTGTAGACAAGTAAGGGTGCCAAGACATCACAGAACAACAGCCTAACTGTGAAGAGAGACCAAAGATAAAGTATGCTTGTCTGTGAATATCTGAGCCCAGAGTAGCTGAACCCTAAAATACCTGAGATAGATAAGGACATGAGGAGCCAACAGAGGGCACTGGGAAGGAGGGAGGAGGCGTAGGGAACTGTGCCACAAAGCAAAGTAAACAAGTGCTTCAAAAAGAAGTGTGTGAGTAATTGTGTCAAATGTTACCAACATCTACGCAAGTGGTGACTTTGATGGGGCACTGAGTGCCTGGGGTCAGAGCAAGCAGGAATGGCAGGAAAGTAAGTACAGCCAATGTAGATAATACTTTTAGAGAGCTTTGTTATTAAGGAGGAACAACAAAAAGAAATGTGAAATTAAGAAAAAGATGTTGCTGCAGTTAATTTTTGTTTTAAAGACAACAGACACCGCAGCTTGTTATATGCTGGTCGGAATGATCATGTACTAGATGGAACAATCACTGGGGTGATGTCCCTGAGCTGGTGAAAGGAACAGGATCCAGTACCTACTGGAGAGGTGGTCACAGCAGGGTGAGCAGTTTATCCACGTAAGTGGGGCACATATTCACTTAGGTTAGTATGTAAGGAGGTTGGGACAGGAAGAAATTTCCCAGTGAAACAGGCCACCATTCATCATCAGCTGAGGAAAGGGTAAAAAGTGTGTAAGTTTAAGAATGAGACTAAGTAATAATCATCCAAACAAGTGAGAAATGAGTGAACTAGGAAAAAGTGCAGGGACGTGGAGTCACCACCATATGGATTTAATGGGCACGACTGTGAGGAGTCACTATGCCCAAGTGTAGGCGATAAGGGAACTAAGAAAGAGGAGACAAGGCATAAAGAGGCACATAAGTGTTCTTTGTGCCTATCCTTTAGATAGTAGAATCCACAGGAATGAACAAACCAAGCTGTCAGATGTCATAGCCACTCGCTTTTCTCCTTGGTTTACACATCTAAATCATTCAGCATATATATATATATATATATATGTAAAATTTATGATTATGTATATGGTTTAGGCAGAGAAAAAAATACAGATGAACTGACTCTAGAAAACTACACATCTTTCAGACGGTAGAAATATGAAACTTAATCATCCCCCATATTGTTTCTCTTACCACGCTGCTCTTTATTTTACTCTAAGAGCCTATAGTTCTCACAAAAATAAAAAACATACATGAACTTTTGTGATCCTATGACATAAAACAAAGTCAAAGTGGCACAATATATTGAATATCTGCAGACATTACACGTACTAATTCATATATGAAAGAGACCGAGTAGTAAAACTTATTCTACTTTTCTTGTAGGTCACCGGTATTAGAACTAGGCAACGTGACAACAGAAAATTCACTTATTAGTGGGACTTCAGAAAAATCCACACACTGCCAATTAAATCAAAGCCATTCTTTAAATGAAGTAATTGAGCATTAATATTGAATCAATTAGGGCCTCCCTGGTGGCGCAAGGGTTAAAGACACAACCTATGAAGCTATCTGCAGCCACTGCAGCACAAGTTGGATCCCTGGCCAGGGAGCTACCCATATGGCACAGCAGACCTCTCCTGTCTCGCCCACTGCTCCCTTCAGCAGTGTATTTCAGTTGATCTTCCTGTTCTGTTCCCCACTCTGTCTCTGGTGAATCTTCTCACCACCCCCACCACCCCCACACACATACACACCTCTGGCCTGTATTCCAATTCTTGCATGCATAAATAAATAAATCTTTAAAAAAAATATTGAGTCAATTAGGTTTTCAGGGTTAACTTTAAGATTATCTCACTGCACTAGAGTTTTGGGTGTTACCCAGGAAAATGTAACCTGTGAAGAGAGCTAGGACAAATACTTGCGGCAAAGTCCACTGGAGTTCTATGTAGAATAACATGAAAACTAAATTCCTCAGATCTACTTCCTTTGTATTTCTTCCCTATTGCAAACAGGAAATTTACTTCTTTTTCTCTGAAAATATTTACTTGTAGTTTACTTCTCTAAAATCCAGTGTGCCACAATTAGAGCCTTTTTTTGATCCTGGGAATTTTTTATTTTTTCATTAAATATATCTTCATTTTACATGGTTACAATTGGTTTCCAAGCAGCAAATTCCTTCTCACCTGCCTTTGATGATCCAGATCTGCTTTATTACCAATTAAAATCATTGGGAACTCATCACGATCCTTTACTCTGAGAATCTGTCTTTGAAATTTATAAATTTCTTCAAAACTAAAAATACAAAAAGAAATTGATCAATTTGGTCAGGTATCAGAATTCAGCAAGTTTCATGCCCACTTAGTATTTTATTACTTTTCTTTTTTTCTATCAAAACAAGAAAATCAAATTCAATGAAATCGTCATCTAGGTATGAAAAGTGGGTCTACATTTCATATTGGTACAAACCTGCCTCTATCTGTGACTGAGAAGACCAACAGGAAACCCTCTCCAGTTCTCATATACTGTTCTCTCATAGCTCCAAACTCTTCTTGTCCTGCTGTATCCAGAACTAAAGGAGAAACAACAAACAACTGTGTTCATATTTTCATTTTATATGAATGGATTCTCCACAAGGACAGTCCCAGTCAGTGTATATCCTTTAGAGTACACCATTCTTGGTACATAAAGAAATGCACTCGCCTCTTAGCACTTTATTCTCAGTACTGAAGACAAATATATTCTAATGGTAGACAGTTTCAGAGTTATCTTCATCAGTACAGACTGATTTTGCAGTTAAGAATATGTTAGCATACCAATTACAAGGTTAAAAATATCAAATACATCTATGGAGATAGAGTCAAATAACCTCTGCTGTCATATGGATGCTTCGGCTCCTCTGTGGAAAGAACTGAAAAGGTAACTGTAAATTCAAGAAAGAAAATGTGGACTATTCCCCAATTATCACACTTTCAAGATGGCAGAGGCTAGTGTATTTCTCGATCTCTGTGGGTAAAAGAACATGACTTTCTTTAGTGGACAGGTGAGAAGTTTTAGCCATGCACAATACACAATTTGTTCAAAGGTTCTGGTGCTATAAAGTCTAAGCAAGTTAAATACTGAAGCTTTTTCTATATTCACTTCACCCATTTTAACCTTTGCCAAAATGCAGGCAGAGTTGAGGCCTGATCTGGTTTTTTCCAAATGTCCCAATAAACACAACTTCAACAGATTACAATGGCAGGACTAGTTTTACAAAACAAGAACAATCCAATTATCATTTTGCATTACATTTACTAAGGAATAGTTTAATTGCCTTGACTGATGTATGCAGCTTCATCAGTCAAAACTAGTGAAAGAGATGGGTTTATATTCAAGATTTTCTTATTAGATGTTTCAATCTGATGTTAAGCATTACAGTATTTCAATTGTACCACATAACCTAGCAGAAAACAGAATTCACCTTTTGAAAAATGGTATGTGAACTACCAAATAAAGAAAGCTTACTTACTATCTAGTCGGGCTGCTCTGTCATCTATCACGCACTGCTTTGTATAGGAATCCTCGATGGTTGGATCATAATCCGTCACAAAATAGGACTATTAAGAAAAATAATCTTATTTTAAAATTTGTGGTTATTTGCCTACTTAAGTACCAGTGTAACTTTATCAAATCCCACTTATCCAGAACTGATCAATATCCATTATATTAAAGTTTATCCTATGTCAATTCCCCATTATATAAAGTCCATTCTGAATACCTTCCAAGTGGAGAAAGGTACTAAGTACCTCTGATGTTTCATACCGAAATACACAAGAGATTATATATACATCTACTGCAGGGGTTTTTTTTCCTAATTAATTTAACATACTTAAGAATCTAGATCTCCAGTTATATTAATAGAAAAGCACAGTAAGTTATAATTCAGACATATTTACAATCCAATGGTAAGCATTTGTCCTAAGAACGAAACAATGGAGAAGACAACACGAGGCCTGCAAGAGTCCACCTGCCACCTTCTTCGTCCCCTGCTGCACCTCCCCCTGCAGTGACCTTTAGGGTTAACCGTCCCTAGGTCCGGCAACCAGCGCGCAGGGGGAGAACAGCAAAACCCTACATACCTGCTGCACCTCCCCCCGCAGTGACCTTTAGGAATGGCTTTCGCCACGGTCCCTAGGTCCGGCTGGGCAACCAGCGCGCAGGGGGAGAACAGCATAACACCCTGAAGCAGAGGAAGTTCAGCAGAAGTTCCCTGAAAAGACAGAAGCTTATCAATAGATAACGACCACCAGGAACCACTACAAGACAAACTTTAATCCCTTATCTGTCTTTCTAAACTTCCTTTTTTCTTCTATAATGGTCATTGTTTGTTATGTAGATCACCTCCCTGATGGTGATAGACTGAGCCCAAGAGCAAGCTAATTTCTTTGATATTCATTCCTGTGCTTTTGGAAAACATATATATACTGGTCACAAACTTAAAGAAAATGACACTCAGATTTTCACTCTTGAAGTGTGTCTGTTTGTCATTTCTTTCACCGACGCCCTGACCACCCTGCACGCTTCTCTCAACCCTGAGGTGGCCTCATCGTCTACTGCTGTGCTGGTCCGCGGCAGTCCCCCTTCTTTTCTTACACCTTGTCTTGTTCCCCTTCCAGTTGCCTTGTTTATTATAAGGAAACTTGATTTTAGGATTCTTTTCATTTTTAGAAATCTCAACTTTAACCTTTTACTAATACTTTTGTTGTTTTTTTTAATCTAAAATTCTATTTCTCTCTTCTGTTATCAGAGCCCGGGATCTTCTGCAATCATTACCAGGGAAAGGGCAGTTAAGGTGTCAGAGTAAGTAGGGAAAACATCTCAAGAAAAAAAAATCCATGTATTTCATTTCACAAAATTTCAGAAACAGTTTCAGTCACAAAGGGCCAAGAGCTGGGGCACTGACATCATCCTTCTTTTGTTTGGGGCAACTCCTTTGCCATCCCCCTTCTTGACTGCATTCCTCAAAAGTCCGTTTCCCAACGGGCTCAATACAAAATCTAAAGGAATGATTTGAAGGAAGACAGTTTAACGCTAGGATCCAGTGCCGAAGGTGTTCAGCCATTCTTTAGGCAAAGGTTCCTGGCAACTGGACCTGCAGGCTCCAGATATCAGGCATTCTCAAGTGACCAGCACAAACACCAGAAAGCGACCCAAAGCAGGAATTCTGAACAGAGCAGTAATGAAACCTCTGGTTTGGGGAAGGCAGGGAGAGGAGACAATTCAGATCTGCCTGCCAATGTGACTTTACGTATTTATTTTATGTTTGAAGGACACTTTCCACATTTTAATTATATTTTAGGATTAACTTTAATCACAAAATTCAGTATCCATAATCTTATTTCCCTTTTGGTGGTTTCACTTAAACACATGATTGTTTAACAGTCTGTAAAGGAAACACTGACCAACAGGAGCAGCTTTTAGTGGAAAGCCACCTTTCATCACCACCCATGCCCACTTTGATAAAGATGAACATATCAAAAACAATTCTGAACTTCTTTTTGGCATCCACACCTCTTCAAAAGGTAAATACAACTGGCAATTGCATTCTTTGTACCCACTACTCTAAACAAGGTAAAACTGTAGTCTTTCACTAAACAAGTGGGATAAAGCAAGTTGTTTATATCATTTTAAGACTAGTTTCCTGCAACATGTTTTTCCGCCACAATCTGACACTGCCTACGTGCTTTCTTCTTGTATAACCTGAATTTCATTGACTCCTCTCAGTTTATGCCTAAGTTTGCTGCATGATCCCTCCCCATTGAGGCCCATTGAAATAAATTGATTTTTCTTTCAGTGGCAGTGGAAGTTTCATGTTTTCTTTGGATGTCTTAGCTCTTGAACCATCATCTTAATAAACATTTTGCCATTTTGCTAGCTAAAACTGGCTTGCATTTATTCCACTCATTAATTTTTAACACAAATTAATTGTTGGAATTTCTGGATGCTTAGGTCCACACTTCATCTTCATTGTGTCCTATTCTGATAATTTGTCCATAGAGGCCATCATCTTGCTACATATAGATTTGAGAATTATCCTCATTGAAAGCATCAAAAAGATGCTTTCCTCAAAAAGATCCACCCTAAGGAACATCACTTTGGGTCCTGATTGTCAGAGTCAATGACCTCTTCATCATAATTGTAATAAGAACAGGTCTGAATAAACCTAAAAAGAACATTCATCAAGTGCAGTAACAAAGCCACTTCCACCACAAAGACCTAACTTTGTTACTTAAACATGGGTATCAAATAGTTAAGGCACCAGATCACCGTTAAGAAAGCAGTCTCTAATGATGGACAGTAGTGGATTTAATTCTAACTTCCACTTTCTAGCTGTGGGACCTGAGGCAAATCAGATCTCTCTCCAACCTTCAGCATCTGTAATAGGATAGAAATAAAACCTTAAGGAGCAGATAAAAGGAAGTAATGCATGTGAAGTATCAAGACATGCCGATGACTAATAAATGTTAACCATAAAAATCACTCTATTATTTTTGTCATACAGTTAAAAGGTATGAATAAAGGCTTGCTAATCCAAGAACAGCTGTAATAAGTCCTAGTTACATCATGAGACTTGTTATCCAAAAATGTGTAAATCAAGATAAAAACTTCCCTTCTGGGGTTCTGGAGATATTTTCTGGATCTGAGCTATAATTAAACAGGTATATCCTTATATACGAATTCATCAAGCTGTATGTAAGATTTGCCTGCTTTTTTGTATACTTTTCTTATACACATTTTAAGACTTTTGCACATTTTTTAATACCTCCTTAAGACATACAAATTAAATGGCTCCCTGCCGCTTACAGGATTAAGGGCTTTCTTTTCACAGTATGCAAAGCCCTCTACTTTGATCTGTGCTGTTCACCATTCAAAGCCTTATTTCTTACTACCTGAAATCCTTTAACTAATCATTCCTGCTTTCTTGATTTCATTCTATTTGCTTGACGATTACTTAAGGAGCATTACAGGGCCAAAGTCTCCTACTTTCACAGAGTCCCTTGCTTTTGACACAACATTCAGTAATTCTGCTATGACTGGAGGCAAAGGGAATGGGAATGTGAAAATGCTATTGGCCAAAGAACAGAAAATGCATGAAAAGCCAATGACATGCTTGTTCAGAAGGCAACAACATCTAAGTGGTTAATACAGTGCAGTCATGCAGAGGAGCTATGTGTACATTCGCTTGTAACTGTAAACACAGAGCCCCAGCAAAATGCCGGAAAATATGTCTCTCCCAAGTCTGAAAAAAAAGTCAGCAGCCACAACCCAGAAAAGAATATTCTATAGCAGAAAGCAAGAAAAAAGGAAGCAGAGTATTGCACTGCATTAGACAGTAGAGGTTCAGGCAAGGGCAGGAAAGGAAGATGGACTGACAGAGATCAGAAGAAGGGGGAGATGAAAGAGAGAGGGGGTAGGGGGCTGCCTTGCTCTCAGGTGAAGGATTCTAGCCAGAAAGAGAGCCAGTTGCCCTCTGACTTGGCAGTAAGCAGAGCAAAGGGGCCCTAAGTCCCTCCACTGTTAGTAGTGGTAAAGAGGAGTTAGGACTAGGGGAGCTCTCCCATTCAGACAGGGAGATCTATTTCCTCTGGTAAAATCTGGTCTGGGTAAGGTTGTGGAAAGCCCTTAATAACTAAAAATAATGCTGTGTAGCTGGAATATTATTCCTGGTTATATGCCACTAGATTGCTCAACAGGTGCTCTGCTTGGCCTAACAGAACTGCCAGTTCACCATCTCCCCATTCAAAGAAGCTGCCTTAAGGAAGAAAGTTGGGGGGAGGGTGAGGGGGAGAGAATGAGCTGACACAACTTCTGCATTCAGTGGGCAGAAGTAAACATGGACTTTCTCCTGCCGCTAAGCTACTGGTGAAAGTGCAGTTCCCAAGCACTGCCACAGAGCGGGGTCTGGTCTACACACGGGGATGGCTGATTTACTAAAACTGGGAAACTCAGAAAAGCCCAGCACACTGTCTCAACTCAGTACTCCTGCATGTAACAGGACAAGAGGCTATACCTAGGGCACCACCGGGGAGTTGTAAACTCAGAGAATCTCAGGAGACCTTTAGGAACACAGGGTATGAGGAGGAAGAGATTTTGATAACTACTAACTCTGGGTAATGTATCTACTAGTATATGTCACACTATTACCTCTACTTTTGCACATATTTGACAATTTTCATCTAAAATAATTTTTGTAATCTGGTTTGGGAGCACAAAAGTTCCACACAAAGGGTCAAGTCAAAGACAGAAAGGGTCCTTTTTAATCCTGAGCTTGAAGCTCACTCTACATTAGGACCAACTCACCAACAAGCCTGAATTTTTTTTCTTGGTCAGACTATTTTCCAGTTTTCTTTATGTTTTGTTTTTGCTTTTACTATCCACCCCCCCCCCAACCACCAAACTAGTATGTAAATTGCACAAGGGCAGAGATTTTTGTCAGAGGTAATGACTTGCCTAGTCACTACTCATCATTGGGAGATCCAGCGGTAAAATCAAACGCTGCCTGCCTGGTCAATTCTCCTTCCTTTTATCTCTCTCTCTCTCTCTGGAGGTAAGGATG